ACCTGACAGGCCGCCACCACAGCGAAGGCCACTCCTGAGCTGTCCAGCTTGGTGCCTGGTTCACAGAAATAATAATCAATCAGGTTTATTTGTGTGGCACATTTCAGCAACAAGGCAGTTCAAAGTGCTTTACATCATAAAAATACAAAAACACAAAGTCCTAAAAGACGCCATACAGTCAACAATTGAGAAATCCAGTAAACATTTTACATTTTGTCAAGTGCCATCGCCAAATATGTTGGTCAATGTTTCATTTATTATGGTTCAGAACCAACTCTAACCAGGCGGGTTTTTAATTTAGATTTAAAGGAACTCAGTGTTTCAGCTGTTCTGCAGTTTTCCGGAAGTTTGTTCCAGATTTGTGGTGCATAGAAGCTGAATGTTTGGTTCTGGGAATGCAGAGTAGACTAATCACTGACATCACATTACATGCAATGTGAACTGGTAATATTAAGGCAAACAGAACTTAACTGAAAGTAAATGAACACGATGGACAAATGTTAGAATTCAGTTGCAGCATGAGACTTTCACTTCATTTTTGCAGTCAGTCTATTTCTGTCAGTATCCATCAGTATCAATGAAAAAAATATTACCTAAAAGCTTATATAATTCAGTAATTCAATTCAAAATATGACGATTGAAATTGAACACACAGTGACATATCTGAAGTATTTCTTTCAGTTGGTTTTGAGAACCAACTACTGACACGAATGGAAACCCAGAATTCATTTGTTTAGAAAAGTTGAGAAGTAGAAAAATAATAAAAGATTTGTGATATGAAATACTATTCATGTCTTTCAACATTCATCCTCCATAGTAGTGGAGGTAGGTGCTGTATCCAATATTATTGTAAGGTTAAGTGGAAGGAGAATGTATGGCATAAAAGGGTGCATGTCTAGGAGCTAACCTTAACACTGCCGAAGGCACCAATACCAGCTTCTATCACCATGGTAACACCAGAAATCTGTCTGACCTAAACTCAACAGAGAATCTATGGAGTGTTGTCCAGAAGAAGATGACAGACAGCAGACCTGACCCGGCTGGTGACCTGAAGGCTGCTAGCAAAACAACCTACGTTTTTACAGGCCGTTGCCAAGATACTTCAAACAGCTCAGGTGCACCCTGTTCTTACCGAGTCCACCTATGGAAAATCTAGCTGACTGAAGAGGATCAGGAATGGAATACATTTGTCCCAGATCAGAACAGAGAGCAAACAATGAAGGAGCATCAATCTGAAGACAGACTGGACCGTGCCAAAGTACTCTGTAAATAAGATTTGATTTGCTGAACAATGATTTTCCTTTCTGAACTAAATTAGTGAAAGAAATGACTGATATTCACCTAAGATGCATTAGTACAAGGGATTTTTTTTTTTCAAAAATAATAATAGAAATAACTCAAACCACAGGTTTTTCTTTCCTCCATTTCCCACCACAGTACATCCCAGAAGAGCTTCCTCTTTGGGATGGCCTTTGAAGGCTGTACCTGTGATGAGGCTGAACAGGGACTGGATGTGAGCCCGGTCCTTAAAATACGACCGACTGAGACTGTTCCAGATGACGTCTGACACTTTCTTCACCAGCTCTCTGCTAGACCCGGAAGCAGTTCTGCGGTACTGGGACAGGTCCACGGCGCCGCGGATCTGGGCTGTGAAACGTTCGTACAGTGCAGAAATCATTCCCAGCTCCACCGTGGGGAAGCAGGACGTGGGACAGTCCGGCTCCAGCGGCTCGAAGCGGACCCCTGGAACGTTTATGGGGATGACCCTGTTCACAGCCAGAAAGTGCTCAACAAAACCCAGGACCAGTGAGAGCAGAGCCAGGTCTGGTTCTGACTTGCGGAGCTCGGAATCAAACAGCTGGACCACGCCGTCGATGCCCCTGAGGGGGAAGAATTTCTTCTGTGATGAGTGCAAACCCATGATGATCCTGGTTTCCGGTCCGAACTTAAATCAGCCTGTCTTGCAGTGTGAATATTAGCAAGAAGTCAAGTCAATCCACATCCTCAGCTCACAGTGACCCTGCAGAGGGAAAACACACAGAACATTTTTACACAGAAAACAGAATTAAATCGAACTCACTGTCTTCGTTGCAAAACACATTTGGTTCATAGTTTTAAATAGCAACCATCATGAAAAATAGCATCTGTTTGTGAACATAAATGTGGGTTTTTACAGTCATTTCTAAAACCCCTTTCATATCATATAACATCTGGGGCCTTGAAGTCGTCCAAACAATCAAATATTTAACCTGTCATCATTTTTCTCAGTAAACATGTTTCTATTATTTGCAAAAAACGCTTACAAAGAAATTTCAGCCACAGCTTTTCCCTTTAAAACAATGGCTTCTATACTCACTGCTCAAAATTCCACTGTTAAAGAAAAAAGCAGATTGATGATAGATACTCGTTTACCACCAGTGAAACACTGGGAGAACAGACTTGAGTCAGATGAGGCCAGAAACTGAACTCTTTTGATATTATTGCACAAACTGCTCCGAGGATGAATGTTTCTGCAAATCATCCAAAACGCACCATGCTAGAAGTGAAAGGAGCATCAGGGTGAGGGCTATCTTACAGCATGAGGTCCTGCTAGAGTTCATATAACTGCAGGGAGGACGGATGGAGAAATGTACTGGGACATTCCCCAAACAAACCTGAAGATAAAACATGTATGAATTTAAAATCAAGAAAACCATCCCAAACACAGGAATGTGAAAACTTGCAGGTGCAAAGAATGCTTCAGCTACTATAAGCTTCAAACAAGCAAAACGATAATAAATAGTAAAACAGTTGGGAATTTGACCAAAAAAATGAAGGAAATTACATAAGTATTCTCATCTTTGCATCATGACACACCCATACACAGCCAAAAGTGCTTTCATGCATTTATTGAACAAAAATTTTTTACATTTCTGCCACAGATCAGAGCCGATTAAAGGAAAATTGCCTTACTCCTCTCTGGAAGATTGATCTCTCCATCTTGCGCCCCCAAGAGGGAGTGTGGGGCATAACCTCCCCTGGAAAAATGCTAACCCAAACCCCAGAGAATGATGATACAAAGGCGTACTAAATCATCTTATTTAATCAAGATTAGAAACATAAATATTAATCCCTCTCTCTCTTTTGTTTTTTAAATAATTTAGTCTGACAACCCTGTGAAAACCTTCTGAGTGCGCAACTGGCATCTCTATCCTAAACCTAAACTCTTGAATAGAAATAAGGACATACAAGATCTGGGTCTCCATCGACTCGTATCGGAGTTTGCTTTTTTAAACTCATCTGATTTCAGTGTTTGACATTGATCTTACAATGTTAATATAAATATAAAGAAGGCTATTTTATGTAACTATCTTGAAGTGGGCATATAGTCTTTATAGAGCTAAGTGTGACGTCGCCGAGCCACAATGAAAACAAATTGTTGAAAACTATACTGGATTCTTTTGAAATAAGCCAGCAGTGGTAAACAAGGCTTCCACCTCTACATAATAAAGTGAAGTGAACTGATCCTAGCCCAAGCCTCTTGGCTCGTTGTATAACCCAGCTTCTATGAGCGCAGCTGGTTGTAGATGTAACAGTGCAGTGGTGGGCGGGGCACCCCCACCGCTACACTCAACCACTCAGCGCCGAGCTGACAATCATAACCTATTTAGTCTCAGAAGACAGATTGCTTTACCACAGCATATCCGGATTATAAACGACGCACACGGGGACGTTTATTACAAACCAACGTAACCCATTAGATAAATGTGTTTACCAGACTAGCCGATTGACGTCGGCTAACTAGCTAACTTTACTGGCTTGAGTCATTGATCACTTTAAGCTTTCTTTCTCCTTATTTTTAATTCAAACTTTTTTCTTTCAGTCAGGAGGCAACCCATACAAGCAGTCCAAAGCAGGAAGCGCACTATTATATATACACATATCAAAAAGGTCTAATAGCAGCTGGACAAACAGTAGCTACACAGCTCGAAACCAGCTAACAAGCTACCAGACTGCTAGTTAGCTAAACTAATCTTTGGGATCACTCGCATCCTCCTCATCATTTAGTAAAATGCATCATCAAACTGGGCCGCTATATAAACTTAGAGAGCTATTATCAACTGTCGGTATTAGCTCTGTTTTAAGACATTACTCACCCGTGTTCTCATAGAGGAAGCCACATGTTTTTGTTTGTGTCCCTCTTCTTTTACCGCGCACTTCAGTCTGCCCGAAAATTACTCAGCGCGTACGACTCATGACGTCAGCGAATCTTAGAAGATCTCAATACAATACGGCGCGCTCCATGTCACGTAAATGAACAGCGACGGGGCCTATCCCTATGTTTGTAAATCTTAGCTCTGGTCCCCCATGCTTGTCTTGGGAAATGTAGTTTTTCTGAGCAGGTCACAATAGCACACAGTAGGGGGCAGCATGGGACTATTATGACATAAGTAGCTTCAAAATAGAACAAAGGTAAACATTACATAATGGGTAACAGACTTAAATGAAAACTTATGCACTTTTACATATGATTCACAGCCCCATGAGTGAAAATTATTTTCTTTATGCTAATAAAATGTATAAGTAAAGCTTAATATAAATTATGTTTTGTATGATACAATCATGCAACACTTTGATATTAGATTAAAATGTATCCTGTCGTCTGTCTGACGTTTAAAATGCAAAACAGATTTTATTCGGACCAGGCTGTCCATTTTAAAACCCGTTATTATGGATAACTTCTACAGCTGACAATATTGTTCAGGAATATTCTCTATGTTGCTTTTCCTTGGTGTCGAACATTTGAGCTCCATGAAAAATTGGTTAATCTGAAGAGGTTTTAGATTGTATGTCAAACCTAATTAAACCTGAAGACAAAAGTTTTTAGTCACTATAATTTTTATCATCATAAGATTTTCTGTTTTACAGCATAAAAACCGCCGTATTAAAGACAACACATGAGACAAGTGGAACTTGATGGGAGACCTTGAATGCATCTCGGCCGACATGTTTTTTTTTTTCTTCTTCTTTTTTTACCCCTCCTCCATAATTTTCCTCTGCCTTGTTTCCTTCTTACTCTGCGCTCTTTCCTCAGAGCTCAGACGTAGTGGTGAGGTGCAGAGCAGAGACCAGCACTTGGGGATAGGTCGCACAATACAAATAAATTTTAAAAAGGACAGGAAGCTTCTCTTTTTACCTTAGACAACAGACATTTCACTGCCACGGTTCTGCTTGTGTGTTGAGCTTCATTAAAATGGATACTCAATCCTCCCAGATATCATCGTCGCAAGGTTTTACGGATGGACAGAATTCTGCTGCCAAAGAATCAAAACTGTCCGGTAAGACTTGACTAACACATAAGTCAGATTGCTGCATTTTAATTTCAACATAAGGTGCGCTATTTGAATTCAGCTAAGCTGTTTATTGACATATCTTTTGACTTTACTGCATAACACTAAATCTATATTGACCCTTCAGCACAATAAGCACTTATATCCTATTGTGTGTCTATTTTAGCTGGACTGTGTGCAGTGGGGAACACCTGTGATTGTTAACATATCTGCGCGACTCGTGTTCGCCATATGATTAATGTGCTGAAGTCAGCATCCGATTCGTAGCTCCATATTCAGCACTGTGACTTTTTTTTTTTTTTAGTTTAGCGATCAAACCACACTGATTCAGTCGATTTTTGACTCTATAACTGCTAGTTTCTCTCTTCAAGAAACTGGCTAATGCCGTGCCCTTAACTTCACTAAATCGTCTGAATTAAATTAGGAACATTAAAAAAAAAAATGACCTTGTGCATTTTACAGAGCGTGCTTTTAAAGAATCTCATACCAGGTTGCTACAATTAATTCCAAATGTGCTCTCTCATATATATATATATATATATATATATATATATATGAGAGAGCACATTTTCTGCTTACAGATTATTTTAAAGCACCGAAATAGCCCTTTACTCGGAGTTCTGAATCGAATGCCATCTTCAGTACAGGCTGTAGCTACGGCCTCCAGACTTAACGCCCCGTAGTGGTTTTTACAGGGAAACCCCTCGAACAGTTATACTTTTGTGTCACAATTTGAAACACTTTTACGGCGAAAAACGAGGTTAACCATTTCATGGGAGTCTATATTCTACCTGTAGCTAATGGAGACCTGCATTACGACAACCAGACCTGTGGGCTGGCAGAGCCTGCTGGTCCCAGCTCCAAAGGAGGCTGGCATCAGACACAAAAGGAGAGATGTGAGAAAAATACTCGACGCTTGGTTTATATGACGCTAGCCGAATTGGAATATGAATCCCAACACGTGGCATTGCACGTTTGCGTCATATTTTTCTATGCAAGTTGTTGGTGGATGGGTTAACTAATGTATAACTTGACAGTTTATAGAATACGGTTTGTCGCGCTGCTCTGCACTGCAGATGTATTGTTACTGTGCAACTGCCTGTTAAGGGAGGACCTCTTAAAGGCGCATTGATGGTTCTTCTATTTGTGTTCTGACACCCAAAGAAGTAAATCATCTTACCATCTTATTTTCCATGTGCAAGACATGAGTTCTGTTCACATCACTCCTGGGGGAGCCTAAAAGCAGGGGAAGCATATTTTTCTCTGGCACTGACTCGCATCTCATTGTGTCTGTGGGAGTGGCTGTTTCTCCATCACTGTGCTTGCATTTGCTGAGATCTCTGATTTAAGCTGCCCACCCCAGGCTTAACTATGAGCTATTTGAAAATCTGCGTTGTTGATCAAGAGGACTGAACATTTTAAAGAATTTGGTGTTTGGATGGCAGAGCAGTGCAGCAGGGTGTGGCATGATGATGACTTGCTTCTTTGGTTTTAAGGTTAGTCAAACCATTTGAAAGAAAACTGCTTGAAATGAACTACATGAAAATGGATCCACACTAATTCGTAAGCGCATTGATTTGGGTTCAGTACAGGTGATATGCAACAAAACATGTAATTATTTAAGAAAAACAGGCAGCTAATAACCTAGCTTCAACAAATCTGTATTTGGGTACAATGGTTCAGGATGCGGGTGGTAGTAAGAAAACAATTGATTGGGTCCTAAAACTGATTCATGTGACTTGGAGAATTCATCTTCTTCACTCTATCTGTTCAATGTTTATATATATAACTTGTGTTAAATATATATTTTCTGGCTACTCAGTCATTATTTAAATTAGGAACAGACGTGACATCATGCTGTGTTGTAGCACATGTATACAGCTATTTTCTCTGCATTTAAAACACAGTGTCTACAGAGCTGACATTTTCACCTTTCTTGAATAATTTCTATTACTGATTAATAAAGTGAGCGAAGCAGACATGTCTGTGTATTCCCCAGAAAATAAAGATCATTGCCTTTACCTCAGACACTTCTAGAAGGTTAATGGTGCATCCACACCCGCTTCCTATGTTTGTTCCAGGTTAGATTTAAACAGAAAAATGATTCAATTGATTTTTTTTTTTTTTGCATTCTGACCAGAAAAGAAAATCAGACTTTTGAGTTTTTGTTTTTTTTTTAACAACGGACCAGACTAAACTGAATTCTACAAGCAGCAAGAAAAGATAATCAGCTGTGATGAAGCTTATGTAGTTGAACAAAAAACTAAAATAAAATAAAAACATCTTGGTGATTTTTTTTTTGTTGTTGTTTTCATTTAGTACAGACTGAATTAAGACTTTCTGGTTCTAAATAGTCATGCATTCAGTTTTGTGCTGACATTTGTGAATGGATATTTTATTTTAATTCACAGTGATCCCCACAGACATCTCACACCCAAGATAAATTGACCCAACATGCATATTTTTGGGTTGTGTGATGAAGCTGGAGTTCCCAGAGAGAACCCACACATGCACTGGGAGAACATGAAGACTCTGGTTGGAATTGAAAGCCAGGACCTTGTTGCTGCTATAATAAATATGTTTTGTTGTTACACGAACATGTAACAACTGTAGTCTGCATTTCATGTAGAGAATTAGCTGCTTTCTCTAGATTTCAAAATGATCAGAACAGACTGCAGATTTCTGTCCCAGTTTTCTTTATTTGTATCATTTTAGTTGGGCTCTGCAGTTTGTAAAGAGATATAAACTATCCCTTTGTTGTTTTTTTTCATGCATACTCCCTTAACCTCCAAGTAGTAACATTTTGCTACAGAATATATTTTTATATATTTCTATTAATTTAGAATTTGTATTCTTGCTTTTTTAATTGGATTCAAATGTGTTGCTTTGTTATTTTTCCTCCTGTGCTCTACCACTCTGCACTCTGAATGTGAATGTCTATACCTGCAGGCCTGTTTTCTTTTTTTCCTTTCTTCTTAAAACCGCCCCCTCTGTTATTGCATCATATTTTCATGTGAAATGGCTCTGTACAGTAGATGGTTTGTGTAAGGGAAGGCCTGAGCTTTGCAACCACTATCACTCATGTTATTTGAATAACTGTCCTGTTTTATAGCAGACCTGAAACATGTCTCCCTTGACTTAGTTGCTGTTGTTTTCACTTCCTTCCATTTTTGCTATAATACGTCTAAAGGTTGGCTGTAAAATATTTGTTAGTGAGGAAATGTTATGACTTGGTACAACAGAGTCCACTGAAGTCCTGATAGTGACCCATTCTCTTAGATGTTTGTAGAAGCCATCTGCATGACTAGGTTGGTAGGTACATCTATAAAAAAAAAAAAAAAAAACCTGACCACGGTGTTCCTGTGCTGGATTGGCCGGCAAACTGGCCGGGTTGAACTCCATGGAGAACCTATGGAGTGTTGTCAAGAGGAAGATAAGACACAAGAACCAACATGTGACCTGAAGGCTGACCTCCTCCTCCATGCCATGCTGCATTGATGCAAAAAAAACACCCAACCAAATATTGAGTGCATAGTAGTGAGCATAGTTTTCATAATTCTGGCATTACTGTTTACATTTTTTTATTGTAATAATCACATTTTTTGAGACACTGAATTTCTAAGCCATAACCATCAAGGCACATTAAATAAATGCTTCAAATGTTTCACCCTGTGTGTAATGAATCAATACGAGTTTCACTTTCTAATATGAGGGACAAAAATATCCAATTGAAATAACCCTGTATGAGTTCATCTGTTTCTTCTGGAGTTTTTCCTCTCTACTGCCACTACTTGCATTCACGTTATGAGAGATTGCTGCTAATTCAGCGACTCAACACAAGTGACTGTCGCTACGTTCTCGTCCAGGAGAACATGATGACCATTCACTGCAAGTCATGATGGAAATGAATTTCACAATTTTCTAATTTTTGATTCGTGCTACCTCCTGCTTATTCAGCAGTGATTATTGATCTGCCTCAACGGGTGTGAATTCCTCCATCAGCTCCTCTACATTGCTTGTATTGGCTGACAGCAGAGCTCTTCTTTTTGCCAGAGATCTTGCTGTGGTGTTGTGTACGACTCAGAACAATCAGTGAAGGGTTCCTCATAGTGATCTTTACTAGGTTTAGTTTTAGTCCAACTACCAGATGGCTTGGCCCTCACATTTTCAGCAGTCTCCGTAGGAGCCAATGAGAGCAGTCACCAAGGAAGTGGCACACTTCCTAATCAGGCCCTCATTTCTCCAACTACATTACATCAGATAGGCTGTTGGTGTATTACTGTGTTTTATCAGATTTAGTAAATCTCCTTATCTTATAAGTCGTTTAAGAAAATTATATTAGTAAAACTCTCAGAATTTGTAGATATTGCTTGTTCCTGCTTGATTGGCTCCACTCTTTTATTCATGTGGAAAAAAATGTTAGGGAGTAATGGTTCATGATTTCAGTTTTTGAGCTACGTCTTTCAGTTTGATCGTCTCTCCCAAAGCTTCCCATCCACACTCGCTCATTACTTTCCTTTTTGATTGGTCATTATTCTGGTTAATGAACCGGCTCCTCCGTCTCTTCATGTGCTGCCAAGCTGACCCTCCTCTCTGCAGTCCATGCTGGAGTGCATCATGTCACTGAGGTCACAAAGCCAAATGGAGGATCTACAGGAATGGCAGGAGATGGGCCCTGCATTCACACTCCCTTTTGTTTCTACAGTAGGCTGTGGATGCCTACTGTAAGGCCCCAGGGACAAATGATAGTTTTCCATAACTGACTTACCACACAACAGTGCTGTTTAGTAAACCAGCCTATCTCAGCAGGCAAGATGAATGGTCATGATCAAAGACTAAAGCCAGCAGAAAATGGGAATCTGGTCCATTTCATCCAGTTCTTGCTCATTACTTTCCTCAAAATAGACTTCTGTAAAATAATAAATATTTCCTGATTCTGTGAATGCTCATTTCTAAAAAGCCAGCGTCTCTAGGTCAGGGTTTAAGTTTTATGTTGCAAACGTACATATGGTGGGTTTTTTTTAAAAAGAAACCTCAGGTATGCTAAAATGGGACTAGATCTAGTTTCAGCAAGCGTTTTAATACTTTGCATAGTAAATGTATGTCCATGTTTTTTTATTCACTTGGGTAAAAGCATGAACTGAATTAGAGGGACACTGAGTTTTTATCCAGCAGTACAGATGTTAGATAATTCTGATAATATTCCAAATTATTTTTCTTCCAATTTGAATTAAAAATGTACCAGTATTCAAAATAAAGTGGTGTATTTTTCAGATCACTCTGAGGTAACAAAGCTGCTTTTTTTTTCTTTACAGGATCCAATCAACATCTTCCAACTTGAAATTTAAAAAGAAAAAGCTAAGGTTTAAATTTCAACATTTTAAAATACTGTCTATATCTTTACTGAAAGTTTCCTGTGCTGAAGGCTCGTCATTTAAATGACAACATCGCATGGTGTGTGTGAGAGAGAAGTTCCCTTCCTTTAGGTTCTTACACCCTTTTCCCCTCAACAACAACGTTCACTCTGAAGAGTGTTGAGTGTCCCAGCCACTTACTGATTGTGCTTTTCCTGACTGTTCAGAAACTCAACAATCCTTTCGTTTTCTCACTGGTTAAACTGAAAACTCTGTATGATTTATTTTTGTTGTCTACAGAAGAAATCAAGTATTTGTTAGAAGAGTTGTGAGATGGGAATTATACAAACGTATCGTACGAAAATTATTCAAAATGTATAGAAAAGGTTTGTTTTAATATTTTGAAGTGAACTGAAAACAGCTGCTGTCGACTAAGAACTGACAGATCCTGTCAGACAATCCACAGCTGGACTCTGTAGGGTGTCGGGGAAATGTCAGATAACATGATGCTGCAGTTAACAGCCAGTAACAGGACGCCTGTCACGGCCTAACATGTTTTCTGCCCATCAGAATTTAAGTCAGTCTTGACAACATTTGTAAACTGTGAACACACCACGAGCAAGAAGTGGTTCAAACATAATGGAGTTGTGCCTGTCTTTGCTTTGCCTCTCACATATAGATAAGGTTGACACATTGCATTGTGGGTAGAAAGTGAAGGTGTGGTTTGCTGAATTTAATTGAAGGAATGTTGTTGCTCCAGGCTTAACCTGCCCAGCCTGTGCTAACTCCCACTTGAGCTGAGCAACACGATGGGCAACACCACACCCTGTCTTTTAGGAGAAAAGTTCCCACAGTTGCCAGGCTTCAGACAGAGGAGAGTTCTACAAACCTAATGGCTTCCTTTTTATATTGACAGGAGGTGTGGTGTTGGACTTCTTCCTGAGGATGGTCCACATGGTTTCTTTATTGAACAGTTTTATGCAAGAAAGCATGGTGTTAAAACAAAGTGCTGAATTAGCTGCCTCAGTAATATTTAGAGTCTGGATAATGTCTTGTCGTTGGATAACAGTATCCATCAGCTGGTAGTTTTCATGATCTCTAACGATATTCACCAGAATTGAAAACTATAGATTTTATCCATTAGATATTGTCAGATTTATTGAAGATTGTCTTCCCTTTCCTCCTCAACATGATTCCAGCTTTTCCATCTGTCATTATGCATCTCCTGTTTTTGCAGCTTTGGATCTAATGCTTTGTAAACTTTTTCCTTGTTTGTCTTAAGGAAAAAATGGCAATATTCTTATTTCCTTTCATTTTAATTTCTTTTCACCTCAGATATCATGTAAAAACCTCAGAATTCCACCAACATTCTGACTTTCACCAGGAAAGTTGCCTTGCGTGTTGTAGTAGTGATGCAAACTGTAAAAGAAGAGCAGTTGGTTTTGTCCTTATCTTATATTTACTGGCTTGGTTTTTGCATTTACAGCTCTAGATAAGAAGCAAATGCATGGATGGTTTTTTGTTTAACATTACTCTTTCTCACTCTTAGATTTAAGTTCTAGAGTATTTAGTAAACATTGAATAAGTTAACTTCTCCTTCTTGATTTGAATGTCTTTATTTGGATGGGTTTCAGCAGCAAGAAGTTCTTTTCTTCTAGTATGATCATTCTTCTGTCCTTTTTTTCCCATCTTTTCAGATTCCTTTCTTTCCTCTTCGCCTGTATCTCTCATTCAGTCTCCTCAAGGCAAGTGTATGGATTCTTTAATGCTGCTCACCTGCTCTATTCCTCGATATTATTTTTTTTTTTTGCTGGCCTGTTGCTTTACTGCTCTCCATCCTTCTATCTAGTGCCCCTCTCCTGCTCACAAGGCTGTGTATAAAAATGCCCCAAAGTAGTTGGTTAAAAATAGTGGCTCCCACCCTGGTCACAGCTGCTTCCCTATCTCAACTACTCCTTACCAGGCCCTCTTTCTGGTTTTCCACATACGTTTCCAGCACTGCTGACGCTTAACTCTAGTTGACCAGATAGCAATGTTTTTCCAACTTTTCAGGGACTTGGAGTTCTAGTCATTTTTGCAACGTCTCTCCTCTGTTGCAACCAGATATGTAACCTTCCCGGCTAGTGCCCAAAACAGCCAGCTCGACCTTTGACAGGTTTCATTGGCCGTTTATTTTTAGGCTTGCAAGATGTGCATCTATGCATGGCTGTGTCCTGAGCTGCAGTAGCTCTACCAAAAAGCCTTTAAAGACATTTATGTATGTTAAGCAACGTTATCTTTATAACATGTCTTTAAATTTTTTTCAAAGTCACACAGTGATTACCTTCTGTGTCCAACTGATGGCTCTCCATTTACTTTAGCTCACCCATCTCCAGTCTTTAGACCCTGAGCATTACACCTGGAAAACTTGGCTTCTTGTGATGCCAGGAGCCTAATCCATTACAGTTTACCAGCTGCTAGCAGGCATTATTTAGGTCAGCATCACTGACTGCAAGTTCAGGATAATCCCAAGATTGCTACCTTATTTTAAGAAAGCAGAGAAGTTCAAGTTCACATTGTGTGCAGAAACCCAAAAGTAGATCAGGTTTGTGTCCCGGGAGGTTGGTTCTACCTTCCAGCTGCCCTAGTATCTGAATCCCCCTCCCCCAGCATCAGCTGTGTCTCCAGAGGACGAGTGGCACTGGAGATATCATCCACCACCTAGTGGTCTGGGCCTTCCATTGCCTGTTGCTCCTCACTCATGTTGCATCCTCGTAGTTGCTTATGGCTCAGTAGGGTTTGTGCATGTCTTAAACCATAAAACATACAAAGTAGGTTTTCTTTGTACAGTTCTGCTTTATTTTTTAACAGCCTCTTTTTGACCTGTGGATTGTTGCCATTCTAGAGCTGCCATGTTTTTTAAGCCACAGTAAAGCTGTGGATAGCACTCTAGAAAGGCACCATCTTGTTGAATTTAACTGATTTAAAAAACCAGGAAGTATTTCAGAAATAAAGATTTGAGATGATTATGTGGCTTGGCAATAACAATGTAAACTAGTCATATACAGACTAAATCTAAACGGGTCAGTTTTAATATCAAACAACCTATTTTGATATTTTCAAGGAAAATATGGGTAAAGCAACATCAAAACAAGTAGATGGGACAACTTGCAGTCGGTCAACTTCACCAGGTCCTCTCAGGGATGTAGCTGCAATGTTTCAACACATTGTAGCTTTTGTAAAGTCAGTTTGGTCACAATCACTAGCAGAAATGTATATTGGTCAGTAATCATTTAATCCAACATTTAGAAAACATGGAATTCTTTGAGAAAAATTAGGAATAACTAAAACTTTGTTCCATTTTTGAGTAACACTTTGGCATTATGCACTGCATCATGGGATCTGGGTTTGTGTCCTGCCCAAAAACTAATGCTGCATAACGGAAAGTGTTTGTCTAGTTCGCAACATTTTCTTTACAAATATCTTTTGGCATACAGGCAGTGGTATTAAGTCATGTCATGGTTTGAAAGGGTTGGTCCTGATTCTGTTTCTTTTTGTTTGTTTTTAGTAAGTTTATGTCTTCTGAAGAAATCAGTAATAGCTCCCTTAACTAGCTTAGAAAATTGGCATAAACTTCAGAGTAGTTGGAGTTGACAAGCTAAAGAGACCCACTGCTGACTTGACACCTTGAAAGTACCAGAGCAGTGCTGCAGCACAGCTGATGCAAAGTTCAAAGGTTTATGTTGCTCTTGGCAGAACCTGAACAAACTGATTAGTGGTCGATCTAGCAGTGAAATTGTTTCTGCTACTGTTAATGTGAAGACTTTCTTTTTGAGCTTTTTATTTTTAAACTAAATTCGGCTCAAACTGACTGAATATGTTTGACTAGCTTGTTAGCTCCCAGCTCTCGACATTTATTTCACTCCCTAAAAGCTGAAGATGACATTATGTATTTCTTCTACAGGCCAGGGACTGTTACTGGCAATAACGTCACAGAACCTGACTTCAAAAAACCAAACCGCTGAAATGTTTCATCACAGTTCCAACAGTTTAAACTTCTTTTTAAACATAGGTCACTGATAAGCTGAAGTAACCCGAGTTTTCTCTAGCTATAAGCTTATCAGTATTGGCTGATTTTTATCATTGACCAATTGATTGGTGTACCACAGATGGAGATGTAAATATTTTTGTGCATGTTGGAGGAGGATAATCTGGAGTTGGATAAAGGCTTTCTCTTAAACCTGCTTACAGTTGATGAACTAGTCAGATTGTTAATGTGCCCAATTACTGAGTGATTCTGCTCAACCTTGTTTCTGAAGAAAATCCTGATTTATTATTACCATCATCGTCGTCATTACTATCATTGGTTGAATAGCTGTAGTGTTGTGAATGTATTGTCACAGCACTAACTGGGAATGTGTTTACAAGTACAGAGCCAAAGACTACAACACTGTTGGTCAGATGGAAAGTCTGTGCTTGTGGCCTAGTTTGAACAAGGCATTGTATTGTGAAGCAGAGGAGGTGGCGGTCCGATTCAAGACAAAGTGAAGCAGTCAGTTGTGCTCCATGTCTGCACATACACAGTTAAAAGTTGTTTGTGTTGTACAATTGGTCAACAAGTTATTAGAAAGAAAATGGCAAGCCACATATAAATGTTACAAACCAAGGACCCCAAATCTCCTTAGCATTGCTTATTGTGCTACATGCTTTATTTTTACAAAACAGTTCCTCCGTTTGGTAAATATATTTTGTCATGGCAATTTGACCTGGTTTATTTCTAATTCTGGTCTGCTAATATGGTCCCAAACATGTTCAGCCTTTTTGTATATAACTAGTGCACTGTTCCCGTATGATGGTTTCCTCAGGAAAGCAAATAGAAAAATGTAAAGATGACCTATATCTGAAAGCTAAGGAGCAGCCAGCTTAGCAAATCAATCACTGACTTTCTGTTTATCCCATCTGACTTGGGCTGATGTTGGTAAAACATCATATGAAGAAATGAAGTTTCCTTTTTTACTATTTGGCACAATATAATGGACTGAACATGGCTGTATTATATTACAATTGCATAAAACTCAACAGTAATTTACATTTGATTGTATTTGATTGATCTGTATTAAAATACATTTGATGGATTATCAGTAGTGGATATTTAATTGGATAAGGTTTAGGATATAAATTGGACCCTTATATCATCATCTGGAGCTGATTTTGTTTTGTTGTAAATAGGCACTAGATAAGTGACTTTCCCAGTGAGGAAAGAAATCAGTGGCCAGTTTGTGTTAGGTACTACTTAGGTACAGCTTCAACTTCTGTTCCAACACCTGGACATCAATGATTATTTGCTAAAGGCAGTTTTACAGACTTTTAAATATAGATTGTTGTTAGAATTATACATGGACTGCAGTAGTTAGCTAACTAGTTATTGTCAGCCAATGAATTAAAATGAGAATTTTTACTAACAATATCATTTTAGCTAAAATTTGACTTAAAAATTAAAGCTAACGTACTGAATAGAGTAAGTTGATGTTAGTTAACAGGCTAGATTCAACCAGCTAGCCTGTTAACCAAATATTAATGGTGCCATTATTATTTTAGCTATTATCAGCTTTTTAGCTGATTTTAACTTATGAACAGCTGTTAGTCTACATGCTAGTAATAGCATGTAGACTATTATAATTTCAACATAAAAACTAAAGACAACTTACTGAATGGACTGAGTTATTATTAATCTACATTGGGGGTGCATCAGTTGCAGTTTATTGGCCAATTGCAGATTACCAGTCTGTGAAAAGCCTAACCTGCCAGTTCCAGTTTTGGCTGATACCATTTTCCTTGCCTGAAATGTTAAGTATAGCAAGAAAGTTGCTGAGTTGATAACAGCGGGGTGACTTTTAACTGCAAATGTGCAGACATGACCTGGTGGGTGGGTTTGTCAGTCAAACCTCTCTCACAGTGGAGCAGAAGAGGACAATGGTTGATTTTTAGACCTTTGCTGAGGTAGATAAGATCAGAGGATAAGATCCTCTTCACATGTAAGTATCGGCCAATCACTGATTCCCCAAAATTAAGGAAATCGGCACAGATAAATTAGCTGGTCAATAAATTGGTGCACCCCTAATCAACATGCTATTGTTGGCCAACATTCTTCTTTTTGGCTTTTTAGCTAATTGTAGTTTATATATAAAATGTCAGCCAACAATAAACTGAGGGGTTTTTATACGTGTAAAAAACACACATTTGTCACTTCCACTAACTTTAACCTGAGGATGAAGTAGTTTCAAAATTGGGCTGGTTGAAAGTTGTGATTCGGTGCTACAAACCAACTCATGAACACAAACATGCTTACAGGGATTTCTTTGAAATGGCTGACTGGACAGATTTCACTGATTGTCTCTTAGAATCTAGTTATGTTGCTAAATGGTTTGCACTGTGTACATTCAGCAGAAATGCAACATTTTGCACCAGAGCAGTCATGAATAAAATCTACACATTAGTCTGGACTTGGACAGGATGTTCTGACACGTTATGTATGAGTGTACGCGGATTTAATATTTGCAAATGGATTAAAAGGTTAAACATAATAAAATAACTGTTAATGAGATGATCCATGCCACTCCTAAAGATTTGAGTCCCTGTTTGGCAGAGGACATCTGAGTAAAGCTTCTGTTTTTACAGACATTCTGTTTTTAACTACATAGCAAAGCTAAACAAAAGTCAAAACACAGTCAAAAAGAAACTGTTTCAGCCTGCAACTATGTACTGTATCAAGCTACATACATTTGCTGCAAATAATTGCACAGTCATCATAGCTACACTGTTCATTAGTGAGATTTATTTCCTCTGCCTTCTTTTGCTCTGGACAGATCAGATAAGTTTCCAGATTGACTGCTCCATGATGCTTAGTTTAGATTCTAAGTAGTTAAGAGAAGCATGCAAGATTGAAAAACCCATCACTATGACTTTTTTATTTTATTTTACATTTTCATGATGCAATGCATGAATGCTTGGGCTGCTACCTTAAGGCATAGCCTAATAGTAATACAAGTGCATGGAAGCTTAGTGGTAGTGACTCAATCTCCCCACTTTTGTCCTTTTCACTACCACCTGTTCATAACGATGCAGATAAGCGAGGGGTCCCAAGTTCTGACAAGTCCACTGAAGCTGTAGCTACATCGCTACGCTTTTCTTCCCAACCAGGCTCATTCTCACCCAGTAATTACAGTAGTGACACATCTCCAACAGATGGACAACAGGATTCTCCAATAAAGGTGTCTCCCGTTTCAGAACGTATTAAGGCACTAGAAGCTCTTGCAGCCAAAAAGAAAGAACCTGATTTTAGAGGCAATGGAACTTTTACTCATTTCAGGGACCGACATCATGAGAAATCTGCACCTGAGGGGCCCAAATTTTCCACAGAAGGCTCTAAAGCTGCACCTGATGGACCCAAGTCTGCAACTGAGGGGCCCCAATCTCCCACCACACGGGCAAAATCTACACACGAGGGGTCCAGATCTCTCACTGAAGGCACCAAATCTACAGCAGAGTCCCTCAAATCTGCAGTTGAGGGTCCCAAATCTCCAGCTGGAGTTCCCAAACTTCCTCCTGAAAAGATTATACAGACACCTCAGAAAACAGAACATTCTGCTGATCAGGAGTCACCAGATTCACCATTTGAAATCCTGGGAGACCTGAAGCAAGTTGTGGACTTTGAAGAGACAGAGCAGTGGATGAAGACACACTTACCTCCAGTACCAGATTTTGATACTGTTGGTTTAATTAAAAGCACTAACAAAGTCTCAGTGAAGGGGATCGACAGAGATATGCCTGCTGCCTTTGCTGGTGTTCCTGATGCTTTCATGGATCATCCTGTTGAAGGTCCGAAACAAAAAGATCAGCTTGATGGGGAACCCAAAAAAACAGAGGTTGAAGAGTTTGATGTTAACTTTTTGCCAACAGCTTACATGTGGGATCATCAAGAAAAATCAAGTGTGAATGATCCATCTAATCTAGATTTGGTGATTACAGCTTCGCCTGCACCTCCTGCAGAGTTTGGTTCCACATCTCCTCCGTCATCCCCCCCAGTTTGCCCTGCTGTTCATCAGAATGTTTCTGATGAGAAGAAAGCAATTTGGACTGGCGAACTTGAACAGCCAGAAGCAAATGAAGGTGACAGTTCAGGAGAATCCGATGATACGGTAATTGAAGATCATATAGCTGAATGTGAGTCTGCTCCATCTCAGTCTTTGGATCAAAGTTCTAATGATGACACCACAACCCCTCCCTGCACCACTGCTGATCTGTCCACTGAGGAGAAAGAGACTCCTCCACCAAGGCTTGAGAGAAAGCTAATGCAGGTTCCAACCATAAATGTGATTGAGACTGACGAGCCCAATTATAGTGAAGAGGAGATGGAACCTGAGGCAGAGGAAGATGATGATGACTATGAGGTAGTAAAAGGCCCAGACACGGGACCCCCAAGCACCTCTGAACCAGATCCACAGAGTGGTGAAAACACAGGCCCCAGAGCACGCCCGTTAGAAACGGAGTTCATGGAAGGCTATTCGCCTCCTTCCTCACCTGTGGACTCTGAGTCTGAATACTCCCCAAAACACAAGATCCTCAACACTAGCTCTGAAAAAGATAAGACATCTGCCTTAAAATCAGAGGTCTGTCCCAATCCAATGGACTCAGCAGACCAGCAACCTGACCAGTCCCAGACCATGTCAAATGAAATTCGCAATGAAAAGTCCCCATTTGTTGTTGAAAATGAAGAAGTGGATTTTCCAGACAATGATGATGATTGGTCAGATGAAACCCAGGAAATTCTGTTCAAACCCCCAATGACTGATCCGTCGTCACGAGAATCAGCTTCTTACAATGAGCCTGCAGTCAGTGAAAATCGCAGTTCAACAGCAGAAGAGGCTTACATAAAACCCACTCCACCTCCTATGTCCAGCTTCATGCAAGATGACATTTATGACAGACAGTCGTTTGATTATGACTTTGATATCAGCTCTTCCCTGGATCACACTGATGTTAAGAAGTTCAACAATGCAAAGGAACGTTTTCTGTCTGATCCAGCTCAGAATGATGTTGCTGAAGACAAACAGGATCTGGACAGCGCCATTTCACTGAATGGTGACGACATCCCCAAATCCGATAGTCAGCCATCTTTAGAAGATTATCCTGAAAACCCATATTCCTGTTTCCAAAGTGAGACTGTAAGCAGCATTGCTGAACAGGTCATTATGAAGACCACTAATTCAGAAAATGTGGAAAATGACAATATACTCTCATCTCAGAAACCAGCTTCACACATTCAGCATAGCCCTGAAACGGGTCACAACATAAATGAGATGAAAATAAGTCCCGACAGAACTGACAGTGGCAGCCCACCTTCTGAGGATAGCTTTGTGGAGTTCATGAGAGAGTGTTTGAAATCAAAGCAGGATGAGGAAGCTGACAGTGTCCACCAGGAGCTTGAGCCCCACAAGACTTCTCCTCTCCCCAAGACTTCTCCAACCATGGCGATGGATTTTGAACAAGAGCACCTTACAATCAGTGCTCTCAAAGATCTGGGCAACAGCCAAGAGGAAAAGGAGGAGACGGTGAATCCTCAGCATAAAGTCTCAGAGAAGAGTCAGCCAAAGTCAGATTTTAGCCCTGCTCAGCCATCGGACTCCAAACCCTCTTGTTCCCAAACCAACCGTGCATCTGAAAGCACATATTCCAGTGATGTGGAAGCTATAGACGAATGGGTAGCTGAAGCCTACCATCTTGCAGAGCATGTCTTGACAGCAATACTAACCCACTTATCAGGTAACATTCCTTCCCTCTGGGCAGTAGGCCTGCTAACCTCATGCACTTCCCTCAGCGGGACGCTCAAACAGGAATTCTCTGCTTAGTTTAACACATGCATGGACAGACCCACACTCTCACATATAGACTTAGAATGTTCGATCAGGACTTGTAAAGATAAGTGCAATAATCTTCAGCATACTGCGCAGAATGAAAATTATTGGGAGAGATGCAGGTTTTCCGACTATAGACTGATTATTAAAGGGGAAATTCAAACTCATGTTGAGTTAATTTTTTATCCAATTTTTTTTTTGTAAAACATAATTTTTTCATTAGGGAATATGTCTGATTGGCTTGTTTTTCTTACCACATTTTATCAGTTGTGTACTTGATGACTAAATCTGAATTTGTGCATTAGTATGTTGACAAGATAAACACTATAAGTGATTAAACTGACAGACTTTGCAGTGAAGAAACATTTTAATTTAATGTATTTATTTATTTACTCTTAAGTGTAGTTCCAGTGCATTTGGCTGTACCACCTGGGTGTTGATGGGGAAATTTTTCTGCCATAATTCGAGGGCACACATTTTCAGTCTGAAAGCAGGATTTCATGTCCTGAAATCCTGCTTTCAGGATTTGAGTGCTTCTACTCAATTCACTGTGTATTCACTGTGCTTTCTCAAATCTTTCTCCTTGCGCTCAAAACTTGTCTCTGCTCGGAGCAAATCTTAACTTGTAAACCTCTCTGCTTGCCAATGAGTCGTGTCCGAATTCAAGGACGCCGCTGGTAATAGATAGATGCTGTAGATCTATTGCTTGGAACAAAAGAGCACCTAGCCTGGCAACCTGTCAGCTAATAGAATGAAAGTATTATACTGGGTGCATTTGCCAGTATAACTCTTTCATTCTATTGGTTGAGAGTTTGCCCGGTGACAGTACATTTTTGTTCCAAGTGTGAGCAGAAAATGATTCGCCAGCTAGGGAAGAGGTTTGCAAATCTCAGACCAAAGAGTAATTTACGGCGCAAGAATAAAAGTTTGCGGAAGCACAGTGAGTATTTGAAAGAAAACAGAAGTTTTGACTACAAGCACTATAAGTTTTGAGAAGAAAGACAAGACATGAAATCCTGCTTTCCGAAAATGTGTGCTCCCAAATTGTGGCAGAAAAATTGCTCCATAAATTTTGACATGAAACATTATACTCTGAGACTGTTTCATATTGAACGTTTGCAGTTGAGTTAAAAATGTGTTTTGTGTGTGTGTGCGTGTGTGTGTATAAATGCAACAAACATTTACTGTAATGGTTAACTAAACAGTAAATGTTGTAAGCATTCATTTTGATGAAAACCTATTGGAGATAATAATAATAATAATAAGCTTTTTATTGAAGCTGTTTAATTGGCAGCATATTCCCTGAACATCTAACAAGCTAGCATGAACAGGGCCCAGACTGTTGGGTATCCCATCATGACTGTACTTGTGCAGCTCCAAAGACAACAGTGCAGGAATGCAGTTGACAATTTTAGTACTTTTAGTAACGTGTAATTATTCTATCTAAAAAAAAGTTTATTCCTCATAACAAGAGACCAATCAAAAAACAAAACTTACTCCTAATACTAAACTTACTCAGAGTAGTACACACTTACTCGCCTAGACTTTAGAAAAGCGTGTGTATTTTCTTTTGTATTCATTATTAAATCAATATCCACACAAATATTTAAATTAGATATGACTGACAGCATAACTTGCAAGCAACCTTAGTTCAAGGCTGCATGTGATCCTCAGAAAGTTGAGCCGGTGACCCTCCCCTGCCCTCTGTCCTGTGAGCCAGTCAGTGGTTCCCCACCAGACGGCGAGTTAGGGCTTAAATACGGTGGCCCAGTGTTTGTCCAGAGCCCTGAACGTCACACAGAACAGTCAATCCCCAGGTCAGGTTTCTGGCCACAGCACACTTAGAGTGGACACACGATGCAGAAAATCAAAGAGCGCAGCTTGCAGCCGCACTGGTGCAAAGTTATTTTGGTGCCATCATTTTATACTTGGGTTTCAACAAGATGCCATCTAAGGTGATGGATGCTGCCAGCTCCTTTGGATCTTGTTTGCTGCATGTCTGTTTAATCAGCGTGAGAGCGGTTTGAGATGCATTTGTTTCCATGGTTACTCATATCAGTCCAATTTTCACACAAAATATTTGACGGTAGGAAATGTCATACTCATTCTTTCTACATTCTCTCACACACACACACACACACACACACACACACACACACACACCGGCTGGTATGCAGACGGTAATCCTGACATATTCAGGGGACGACACATGGAACCTGACCCAGCGTGCATCTGTGGGTGGGGCCGCCTGCAGTCCGGGAGCAGTAGATAAAGGAAATGTTATCTGTAGCCGAGTTTCAGGTTTTTTGTTCGTCTTCGTTTAGAGGTTTTGTAGAGGAACAGCAGCTTCTAGTGCTAGTGCTGGGTTTTATGTTGTCATTGATATGGTTGAAGGATTTTTACAGGCGATAACTGCATTAACCAATAACGGTTCAGTTCACTGCTCTCAATGTTATCACACAACAGAGCAAGATGAAGACCTGGAAGAAGAATTGAAACCGGTCAGTACAAAAAAGTACATATTGCGTAGATTTTTCTCCCAACTCTATTTGGTAGAAAAGGATTTGTCTATAGGTTTATAATGGAAACAGTAAATGCATCATGAAATGATTGTTGTGAAATCGGAACATAAAATGGCAAAGAAGTGAAGTGATCCAGAGCCGCTTTAAGATCAGAACAGTTCAGTCTGTTTGTTACATCACTACAAACTATCTGCTATCTAATCTCCATCCAACAAGCAATCGATTCCATTAATACAAATTTTACAACTTTGAATTGAGTGAATTTCAAAAATGCTGCAAAAACAAACCTGCAGTCACTATTGGCAGTGGGTGGCAGAGAGGTGATCAGTTTTACTGTTGTGTATGTGGTTGATTTTGGCTCCGTTTTCATTGCACTGAGGGCCGCAGCGATGTTTATGTGAGTTTCTCTAACTCTGTGAAAGTAGGCCGCTGTGTCTCAGCAGAGTACAGTGAGGGTGAGAGGGAAAGAAGAATAAAGATCATAGAACCCGGACTGCTTCCCTGTGGGTACACAGAGCAGAGCATGCTGGGAGGAGACCCATAACCCCTACAGTACTGGCTGAAGAAAACCTTTTCACTGTTGTTCCCCAACAAAATGTAAACGTGACCTTTTTTTGTTAGTAAAAGTAAATTTTAGTTTTTTCAAGAGGTTAATTCAGTCTGAAGTTCTTCAGTCACATTCTAGGATAATCATTGGGATTAAAATCACATTAATAAAATGATTATTAGCAGCTCCTCTCCTCTGAGGCTAAAGTTACCAGCTGCTTCACGTTTTAGCATTTAGACCTCGTCAAAAACCTTAAAAACACACGCAACATAAAAAACTCATAAAGGAGCTTCTTTATTTGGTTCAACTGAAAAAAGAGCAGGAAATACTGAGCTATAGTCTCATCTATTAACTACTGCATATTTTATAAACTTTATCTCTTATGGTTATATTTGTATTATTAATATTTAGCACCATAGATGGAGTAGCTTGTCAGTGAATAAGCAATTTCCCATTGGTGATCAATAAAGTCTATTCAATTCTAAACTCGGACATCAACACAATGTTCCTTAGCTGTTCTGGGCGGCAGATGATGTTTTTGGAGCATGGTCATGTTTTATTGTCCCTGCTGATGCCAGTATTTGTCATACAGAGTGTATGAATAGAATGCGGAGAAATTCAGATAACCTTTATTGACTCAAGTGGGGAAATTTAAGCAGCAAAATGACAGTTCAAGTTCGTTTTTCTGAATGGCCTTACATGAACACAATCCCTCCTATTGTTGAGAATTTGAACTGAACAGTACCAAAATATTAGGGATGTGAAAACCAGACATTCTTTTCTACGTATTGAAGATTTGCTTATAACAACCCCCAATGAAATAAACCATTACACCTCATCAGGGTTACATATTGGTACTGAGAGGCTGTCTGTCCGAACTCAGTAGAGACATTCATGAGTTTCGTGAGGCCAGAGTTTCTCCAGAGCAGCTTCAGTATACTGCTCCATCTCTGACAACACATCGCCTGAAGCATTCACAGCTAAATATTTCTTTTTCTAAAGATTTATCACTTAAAACACACACCTACAGTTTTCAATAAATTCACTTATTGCTTCTGTTGGCAATATTGTTGCTGTGCTAACACCAGCATCCCTGCTTTATGTTTTGATGTGACTCACATCTGGTTGTAACATTTCAGTGTGAATCTAGGTAATTCTGTGCATACTCGATTTAAAGAATTGAGTTAGCGGAATGTAGCCGTTACATAGTTTACATGGGGGTCAGGGCAGGTCATGTGACACAGACTGGAGGAACAGCAGCAAATACAGCTTCTTCACTCAGAACAACATTGTGTGGGGTGAAAAACACTTGGATTGATTTATGAGATCAACATAACCACATGGGTAAGGACAAAATAATAATAATAATAATAATAAGGGTAATGTAGCGGTTAGATTAATGTAGAGGTGTGTTTAGGGTGATATAAACAAACGTCTACTAAACACAACTACTAAACAATATGCCTTGTTTACTAGTTGTGTTAAGGTCAGTGTAGCGCTATGTTTAGGGTAATTTAAGGGTAGTCTTACATACAGTTTGAGTTTCAAACCTTGGTAGTACCTAATGGGGCTGCATTTCTCACAGGGTTTGCACATAATCACACAGTATATAAACGGGTGTGGACTTTTCAGGCAGTTGATATTGAATTTAGAAAAAATGTGTTCATCAAGATCCCAATGTGATGTTTTAGGGCAGATCAGGACAGCCCTTCTGTAACATTTAGTTTTAGGCCAGTAGGTCACACCATAAAGTCTTTAACGCCCCTCCCTGCCCCTCCCCACCTGTTACTGTCCTACAGTTAATGACCTGATCCACTGGCGGGACCCCAAGAAGTCGGGTGTGGTGTTCGGCCTGTCCCTGCTTCTGCTGCTCTCGCTGGCAGCCTTCAGCGTCATCAGCGTGGTTTCCTACCTGCTGCTCGCCCTGCTCTGTGTCACCATCACCTTTCGCATCTACAAGTCTGTGGTCCAGGCTGTGCAGAAGTCTTCTGAGGGACACCCATTCAAGTAAGACCAAAACCTGTCATGGTTTGTTCTAGACGAACTTCTGTTGAGATTTTCTCTATTTTCTCATATTCGCTGCCTCTAGTTATTAGAGGCAGCAAACCTCTACCAACATGTTCATCAAAATATGCCTTGTTTAGTAGTTGTGTTCAAGACTTTTGGGCTAAACGTGCCAACGTGTGTAAGCCCTTTCCACCACTGGCTGGTTATTTCTGGATATCTGTTGCTTTTCTGCTTGAACACTCAGCCTCATTTTGTGGTCTCATTTTCTTTCCTCCTCCCAATTTTTCCGCAGAGAGCTGATAGAGAAGGATGTCACCATTCCTCCTGAGACGTTCCGCAAGCACGTGGACACCAGTCTGACCCACATCAACCGAGCCCTGAAGCAGATGAGCCGCCTGTTTTTGGTTGAGGACCTTGTGGATTCTCTAAAGGTGAGCAGCAGCAGCTCAGCTGCCCACTGTCATCCTGGGTTCTGTCTGTTTCCCTTTCATTTTTTAGACATCCATTTCCCTCCTGTCTCATCAAGGCCAGTCTCACAGGGGCAGTCTTTTTATAGTTACTCAGCAAGAGTTCATGTTACTGGAATAAGTTCTGCGTCAAAAACGAAATCTCCAAGGACGAGGATGACTGTTACGATGGCGGATAACAGGTTTCAGTTGAGCTGTTATTTATGTTGCATGACAATGTGACTGACTGTTGTTACAGTTATGTGGAGATGCACACTTTAGCTCTTTTATGTTTCCAGTTTTACAATGTGAGCAATATATTTTCCCTAAGTAGTGTTAGTGTCCAGATCCTAAGCTGAATGAAACTATTCCACAAATTCCTTTAAAAAGCCCCAAATTATTATTATTATTATTATTATTTTTTTTTTTTTTTTGCTAGATCTTGTTTGGTAACTTGCAAAATTAAATTTGCTGAATGGAAACACAGCAACTTCAAAAAGAAACAGACATTTCTCCATAAAACGTTTTGCTCTGCTGTGAAATCACCGTCTACTATTTCCACAACATACCGCATACGTAGCCACACCCAGGAACACGGGATCATCAGTGTAATCCTCAATAAGATGCCGATGTCTCCTCTGATTGGCTGATAGATGATGAGCAACAGCTCCATGGCTCAAGTTTTAATGTACTTCAAACACTTTTGAGGTACATTTGCCTCCACCAGGGTTTTTAAATGACTTATCATGACCATTAACACATTAACTTGATTTAACACGTCCTATTTAATGCAAACACCACAATTGCAAAATCATATTTTCGACATTCTGAGAATATTGAGTCCTCTTCTGCACATTTGTAATGGAAACATAGTTATAACATGTAAATACACTTTACTGTTATTTTTTTCTTTGTATATTTTATTATTTTAGTACACCACGTTTGATAAACTGAAACTTAACTAATTATTTAGAAAGATCTGGAAAATAAGAAAAATGTGCACATTCTTGTACCTTACAGTATATTTTAGTCAAGTTTTGTAAATTCAAACTGTAACACCTGAAAGCAGCCAGAAACAGAGAACAACCTTTGGCTTCAGTAAATGCATACTTTAAAGGAGGGCTGCATGACATTAGCAAACTGGATGATGGTATTACTACTTCTAACTTTCTCTGTGACCTTTACCCTCTGAGACACTACGATCTGTGTGAACTGTGCAAATCTACTGCAGTGAGCCTGAATATCTACATTTTGTATCAATCTTACTCTGAGTCTAGCAGACACTTGGTAGGTGAAACTGATGAATCACTGGTTTATCCACATTCCCAGCCCCACCTCAGTTGATGAGCAGATCAGCTTTGTAAACCAGAATCGGTCTGTTGGGAGAGGCACTCTCACCTTCAGGTGATTCAGTTCAGGTATCTGACACATCCCACACTCCTCCCAGCTAACATGGTCTGCCTGACTGGCAGAGGAAAGCTGGCCTTTGCTTGTCTTTGATTACATTTTCTTTTCTTTCATGTGAAATAAACAAATATTTCCATCATCATTATATAACATCCTGTTTCAAGTTACTTTGTCATACCTGCTAATGAGTTAGTGGAAGTGGTAAAACGTCCTTCTCGCTCAGATTATGTTTATTCATTTAAGCGTATGATAAGAATCCCTTTAAAGCCAGCTAGACGTGTTTGGCTTTTTTACTCACACAACATGGCTGTAAGTGAACAGCCACTCATTTTTTGTTTTGTTCATACTGGCAAATCATCCCAGACTTTGTCCAAACAAGTCATGGAATCAGTCCAGCTGTGGCTCCCAGACAGGTGCAGAGGCAGCCGGTGCTGGGTGTGTGGAGGTGTGGAACCAGTGGCTTACATTCATTCAGCTTACATCTAGTGTAAAAAGTGTCTGTGTGATGGTTTTGTAAAGGCCTGGAACAGCATGAGAGAGCAGCAGGCGACATCTGTGAAATGAAATCTGCTGTGAGAGGAAAGGAGCTTCTGACTTCAGGTGACATGAAAGTGATTCCTAAATGTTTCATTTCTCATTTGTTTTTGTTTTGTTTTTTTTTTAACAGCTGGCTGTGGTCATGTGGATGTTGACTTATGTTGGAGCAGTTTTTAATGGAATCACCATCCTCATCCTGGGTAAGCGCTATGGAAACCTTTCCTGTTCCCTCATCACAATAACCAATAATTACTTTAATTTAAGAGCTTGGTCTGATTCTCTTTAAGGCCTTGCATTTATGCATACACATTGTTAACTGTATTCCCATTATAATGTACATATAATGTTGTTTTAGCTCATTGTAAGGTGAACAATGTTTAACAGCAATCATTGTCTTCGTGCTGAACTCTCTCTCTGTTCTCCAGCGGATATCCTGCTCTTTGCCGTACCTCCAGTCTACGAGAAGAACAAGGTCAGCCCCACCCTAAGGCCGAACTACAGTCATGTCAGCTGAGAGCAGATAGACGCATTAGCAGTGAGCTCACTGGATGACTCTCAGCCTCCATCGGACACTGAAGGCTTTCTCCATCCCTCTAGCTGTGGACCCAGTCCAGCTACTGAGAACATGATGTCATTCTGGAGTCAGAGCGCATGGGCATTAGCATCTGCACAGAAACGCCACATACATCACGGAAAATGAGCTCTAGCTTGTATTTGCTGTTGCTGGCTGTTTATTGGATAAAAACATCAACCACAGTCAGTCTATGATGAGCTAGGGTTAGTCAGGAGTGCTTAGGTCCAGTCCTGGAGTGCTACCACCCGGCAACTTTTAGATCCATAGAAACCCCTGTTAGAGATCTCATCTTTTTAAATTACTTCTCAGTATTCAAAGCAATTAAACCTGGCAGCACAGGACACCTGTTTAAGGGTTAATCAGGTGTATTTAAAGTGAGGTTCTATGAAGTCAGCTGTAGTAGAAATATGTTAGCACAATGAGTCAAATTTAGTGGGACGTTGACCTGGTTCAACACATGGTTCCATTTAGAATAAACTTCCACATTCCCCACTCACCGTAAAGCACTCCGACACGCTGTCACTCTTTAAATCCTGGCGGAATGCTCTGCTGTTCAAAAAAGCATTTCCACTTGGATTGATCAACACTTTCTTTTTATTTTTATGTGTGTGTATATATATATATATATATAATTTTATTTTTATTTTTTTTATTGTTTTTAATTTTTGTGAGGTCGCCTTGTGTGCCTTTTAAATAAAATAAAATATATAATTATTATTGGAACCATGTGTAGTACTACAAGCAAGGACCGTTGCCATGTATTTATGAACTGAACCTGAACTGATCTAAGCACAGAGCCCTGAGGTACTCCACCGGTAACCTGGAGTGTGAAGATTTATCATTCACATGAACAAACTGGGTGACAGATAGGATTTAAACCAGCCTAGTGCTCTTCCCTTCAGACCTACATGTTCAGGAGAATATTGTGATCAACTGTGTCAAAAGCAACACTCAGATCTAGCAAAACCAGAACAGACACAAGTCCACTATGTGAGGCTAAGAGAATATCATTTGTAACTTTCACAGGTTCTGTTTCAGTGCTATGAAACTGACTGAAACTCTTCAAACTGGTTATTACTGTACAGATACTCACACACTTGATTAGCATCTACTAAGGAAGATTAGATCTAGGCCTGTACTTTACAGAATCTCACTTCAGAAAACCTAGATGAACTCTTAACAGTTACATGTGGAAGTATCTCATGTTTTACTGTTTGTTGTTTGTCTTTTTAATAAAGTAAATAAAAAAAACTTAAGGTTCTTTTCCCTTGCAGACCCAGATTGATCATTACATCGATCTTGTGCGTACCCAAGTCAACAACACAATTGCAAAGTAAGTGAAAGAAAACCATTTATTTATATTAGAACCTATTGCTGTACTCTCTGTCCATGTCGATGATATGTCACTCACATCAGGAATCAGATGAAGACACATTCAGGAAAACAAAACTGACCACTGGAGGCCTAGCTTTGCTTCCTGTTTATGTAGACATCAAGATTTTTACAGTAGACTTTGACGTTTTCCCAGTTCGTCACTGTAAGAAAGATGTAAAGTGGATCTGGAACGATGTTGGTAGGATATACTGACCAATAAATCCGCACGGATTTCCTTAATTTTGGGAGATCAGCAATCGGCTTATCTCATAGGGTTCAGCTAGCTTAGCATGTATTTCCAGTGTAATGCATTATTGATGTCTGATCTGCAGTAATTCTTGTTCTGCTTTCCTTTCCTAGACTGCAAGAGAAACTTCCGGGAGCTATGAAACGCAGCAAAACTGAATGATCCCACATGTCATCTTCATCCTCATCTCCATCACTCTGGAAAAACCAACCCTTCATCTCACCCAGCTCCTCCCCAGTAACCCAGACCTGTTCACCTCCGCCCCCACCCAACACACACACACACACACACACACTGAACCGTGCTAGATAGAAAATCTCAGAGCTACTCAATGTTCAACGTAAAACTACTGCGCAGCTTAACTTGCAAACATAAAATCAGAGGCGTGCCTGCAGAGCCACGAGGCACCATGCTTATGAGCAGGTCATGTGACACTGCAGCATTCCCAGCTGCAGAGGGAAGGCCGGCCTGAGTGAACTAGACTGAATCTATGACCTGGTTCCACCACGTACAGAGCATCAGGGCGGACGGGGCGCTGCCTCCGAGCAACACCCGTCTGCCCAGGAAGCACACGCTTCCCTGCAGGAAGCGTCCGGCTGGTCACACAGCCAGGCTCCATGGAGCTGTGGCCAGGCTCACCGTACCTTTTACTCAATGTTACATTCTATACGAATTCATTTCAGGGGCTGGGATTGGCTCTGCTCCTCCTGATCGACTCTTCCGTTTGTTTTTCAGTCACAGGCAGTGTTTGAACCTTCTGCAATGCACTGATTTTCTCCCCCCCTGACGCCTGGGCAGGTGGAGGTAGCCTCTCCCCTCCGAACCAGCTGTGATAATTTGGTCTAGTTCATCATGTTCAGAAGCTTTTTTCTGAAAACGTCTGTTCTTGTAAATAACCCTGAGAAGCGACAGGCTCTCTGCTCCATGGAACACATCAGCCAAGCTTTTATATTGAAGGAAGACCCCGATCCTTCCCCTCCCCTACAATCATAGTAGTCTTGACTGTTTTTGCACCTGTTCAGTCCTCTAAGTGTTCGGCTCTTGTTTTCACTTGTATATTTTGATTCTAATTATGACTACTTAGAAGTGCTACCTGTATAAACTCTAGGATGGCTGCTTGAACTCCCCTCCAGCTCGATAACTGCTTAGTGAGACTTCTGTTAGGTGTTACTGAGCTTCTTCTTTTTAACCAGTAGTTCTTTGAGTCCGCCCCTATAGAATCAAGCTGTTAGGTTAAGTGGCACACTGATGTGTTCAACTTTTAATCCCCACATGGTTTCTCAGATTGCTGTTGTGTTGAGTGTAAAATGTGAATGGTTTGAATTGTCTTGCCAAAAAAAGAATTATGAATAATTTCAAAGCTGTTCAGTTTAATTTTAGACAACAGGCCAAAGGTGGAAGGTCATCTGGAAAATAATGGCTGAAATTAAAATTGAATGTAAAAGTGAAAAATAAAAGTTTGTGCTGTGATCGTTTCTCTAATTTTTTCCTCTTTTTTTTTTATCTATTCTTCAACAGCAGAGATTATAATGTTGACACATTTTACACTCCATACAATGTTCCTCTGACCAAGGAGGAAGTTAGATGAGTTCAGGGTTGTTATATTAGAAGTTGCCATTTTAAGTAAAGTAGCTGGAGATGATAGGAACACTTTCTGAAATGGTTATTGTAGAACTCTTCTGTTTTTGGGTTTTTTGACAGCCTCGGTGCATGTCATAGTGTAAGCTGGAACAGGTTTTCACCCTGTAATATATTGTTGATCCTGACTTTTGTTTAATAAGGTTACTACTTGTGATTGTTTCCGTGGTGTTTTCTGAACCTGATTTAAAACCACAGTGACATGTTGGCCCTGCAGTCCAACTTTTATGTTGCGTTAAGGGACAGAAGTGTGAATAGTGAGTCGACACCACACCTGTAGCTGTTCGGTCCTGTCTGCATGTCTCCCTGCATATTGAATGGACACGGCTGCTGAACTCTCTCCCTCCTTATGCATGACCTCTGTGTGATTCACCTGCACAGGTCAGAGTTCACCGACCCGGCCGCTTCATGTCTGCCACTTCTGTCCCACAGGAGGCACACTGAATGTCATCAGAGATAAAGTTACGTTTTTTGTTTTGTTTTGTTTTTTAGAAAATTATTTAGCTTCCAGAACATATTTACCATGTGTTTCTTTTATGGATGTAAGATTTAAGAAATCAAGACTACCGAACAAAATAATTCTCACGTCTGGCTGTTCAGAATTTTTTACTTTAGTTCTAGTGGATGGATTAAAACTAATATGGCCAATAAAAATATTAAATAAAAATAGAAATATTTTCAGTCTTTATTGCTAAAGTTAGTGCCTATGAATATTAACGCTGGGTTCTCCAAGAAACCTCCAATCAATGATTTCATAATAAACCTTAGCAGTCATCAGCAGTTTTAAGTTAAAGCTGGAGTGAAGGAAACTTGCGAGAAGTCTTATTTTTAAACAGAAAATTAAATCTGCATGCTTGATGACATGAGAAGCCATGTTAGCTGAGCCATTAATATTCACTTGGCTCATATGAATGTTGTGCTGTTAGAGCCTCTTAGAGATCCAGGTGAAAACTAGAAAAGCAAAGTGGCTGGTGCCATGGCGCTGCCAGGGTAAACATCACAAAGTGAGTGTAGTTCTTTAGTGCGTAGAATATGATGCAGAGGAAATTCAATATCATTTCTCGTAGCATGTTTTTTCCCCTCCTTTTCCTGTTTGTGTGTTTATGTGATGGGAGAGAGTGACAGGAATGATCTGAACTCTGCTTCCTGACTCGTTTGGCTTGAGCTCTAATTGGTATTTGGACTTTGTGAACTAACTGCTTGGTTTTGTAGCAGCTATGACTTTGGTTCCAGTTTATGAAGCTTTTGGACAGATGTTGCAGGAATAAAAAAAAGAAAAAGAAAACTGCAAAAATGTTTGTGGTCTCTGTACTGATGTCAAAGTGAAATAATTAATAAAATCAACTCAAAGGTCTGCGGCTCTTTGTGGATTTGTTCACCTCTTTGGATTCTTTATCTTCTCCTCAAATGTGTCCAGTCGGAAAGAGGACTGAAGATTTTTATTTCTAACGCTGGAGTTATGAAAAGCCACATTCACATTTATACTGCTGCTTAAAATGAGTTGAGAAATAAATGTTTACCTGTCAGACTGAGGATTCATGTGTTTAATCTTCAAAAAGTTTTAACAGCCTAATATTTGCAGCAGGTTTTTTATTTACATATTTCATTTAATTGGATTTCTGAAATAGACCTAAAAATCACAGAAAATAATAAAGGACTTTTCAAAACAACTTTAATGTTTTTATGCTACTTGTTATTCAGATAGCCACTCTTGTCGGACCCATTAATGTGTTCTGGTTAGTAGGACCTGCCTCACATGGAGTGACCCTGTGCTGTGTTGATATATAAACTGGAGATCCTTCCTGCTCATAGCATCATCATCTACAAAAGCTCTTTATTAAAGATCCATGCATAATATGAGTTACAGCAGCGTTTAGCTTCTTGGGATAAAGTTATTTACCGAATCCATTAATGTGTTTGTGTCACATCTCCACAACATGCCTGTAACTAAAGCCATGATGTTCTCAGCATTCATAATGTTTTCCAGTTATTTCCGTAGCAACCGCCGGTCTGCATTAGACCATGGTGCTTAATGTTAATGTTATTTATTAGTGAGCATATGAAAACAGTTTCTCATAAACCGCATGGTTCTACGTGTCATTTTGAAGGTAAAATAATTTCAGTTTATGGTTTGCAACTAATGATTATATTAGTTATCAATTATTTTAATAATTGTCATTTCACCACTTAAGCTTATTTTGTACAATATTTGGAAATACATAGCAAAAACAATTGAATTCCTTTTTTAAATAAGAAAATACACATTTTATTACCTAAAATACAATAACAGCATTCCTTTAGCGAACCCTTGATCATTTGTTGCAAAGAAAGCTGAAGAAAAAATCTAAAAATAAAAAACATCAACTCTTATTTTGCTGAACTGAACATCAATAGTTGAGGGCTGATATGTTGGATATTTTTTTGGATTAACTGATTAATAATTAGACAGCAAAACATACATCATAGGAGATTTTTTTACTAAGTTAAACCCAGGTGAAACTAAAACTGCCAGTTGACGAGTTCTGGTGGAATATATTTACAGACGATGGTGCTATTATCTTAAATGCAAAATGTATATATTTGCTGTATAGTTTTAGTTTGTTCTTTCTGCAGATGGCCTCTTTTAAAATCTGTATGCTCCAGGTAACAATCTATTAATGATTACTAAATTAGTTGGCAATCATTCAAATAATCGAATCATCATGATTAATCATTTCATCCCAAGTAAAATGTTCCAGAACTCAAAAGATAAATTGACCTTCACTGACTGTGACACCAAATGATAAACATCCTGAAGGTCAAAGTGATGCTCTGACATTCTAGGAGGCATATGAACCATTATCAGATCTATAAATCTACACTGTCAGTAGATGTAAACTGTCTAATGTTGACTGGCCTTCAAATACCCATGAAGAGAATATAAAACAACAGCACCAAAATCTCACTTTAGAAAGGATTAGAGGATCAATGAGTTTTATTCACTGATGACAGGATGCACATTTCACACATTGACCTGTTGGAAAGGGGCAGAGCAATCACTTTTCACACACACACACACACACACACACACACAAGCAACGCATCATGTCTCACTTCATCATCTCATGAATTAAGTGCTTATGTCAGAGACGAGGAGCCATAAAGATGGAGCCTGTTCTGCCGTGTCACTTTACGTTAGCTTTGGATTAAAGATTTTATCCTTCATTAAAGACATTTCAACTGTTTATGAAAGTCAGTCCCACATAAATACCACAGAGTCATGAACCCACCATCACATGACGAAGGCTGAGATACAGTTCAGACTGCATAAGGTCATATTTAAAGCATTGTGCCTTTTAGCTTGTCATTGTTTTGACCCTGATATTGTTAAGGTAGGATGGTTTGATATATGAGAAATATCAGTATCAGTATCGGCCAATGTTAGTCAATTTTCAACATATTGGAATCTGCTTTACTCCCTTACTGCTGCATGTGAATGTGTTTGAAGCAGGCGGTTTGTCTGGTCATGTGACAGTGATAGTGATGCAGCGACAACTGAAGCAGAGACATAATGTCAGCATTATATGATTGTTTCTTCACATTGTGGAAATAGTTGGGAAATGTGTAGATATCAACATCGGCCCAAATTTTCACATCATTGCGTCACTAAAATTTACTCATCAAATGAGGTTTTCTTTTGACATCATAAGTTTTGATTTATTCTCCAGAAATCTGTATTTTTTAGTCAGAATTTTAGGCTCGAGTTATTTTAAAATGTAGCTTTTAATTCACTGTGGTATTTATGTTTGACAGTGACACAACTGAAGCCAACATGTAAATGCAGAAGTGTCGAACAGAGACAGCCTAGAAGAAAACAAAACGAAAAACAATCACTGATTAAAGTGTTAATGCAAACAGAATCCCTGAGATATGTTTTCCAAGAGAAGAAGAAAAAGAAGAAGTGACATTCTATGACAGAATTATTTTACGTGTTGCATAAACTTTGTACACTGAATGGGGGGGGAAAAAACACAATGAAGCTGGAGCAAAGTCTGCAAAGTGAATTCATAAATTTAACAAGCATTTCTCCAGCGTTAAAACATGCCTTCATCGCTCAATTTTGAATAAAGTAGAAAAACTGGACTGAGTTACAAACATATTTTGTAAAAACCAGGATGCAAAAAAGTGCTCATACAAAGGAAAAATACAACTCATTTTCAGATATTTACACATTTTTGTGCAGTGTTAAGGTAGGATGATTTGGCTGATGGGAAGGATGCATGGTGCTGTATTACCTAGACTGAGATTAAAACGGACGACTGAGGAGGGCATCCTTCACCTGCACTTGTAAACAAGGACTAAGCAGTCTGCAGTCGCTCGCTGCACGCTCCATTCATTGTCATCAGCAAAAACGTCAAACATTTTACTGGCTGCACACAGATAGGGGTGGAGTTTAGTAGAGCTTCTGGGACAAAGTGCTGCGTTGTGTTCATCTGTCACTCGGTTTCTAACTTCCTGAGAAAAAAGACTTGGGCCCTGACCAGAAACAAGCCCCAAATATGAACAAATAAATATTCAATGGTGTCCCTAAAACCTTTTAAGCCCAGAGACTCATTTGTAAGTTTGTCTCATTAACAACAGTTCAATTCCAGCTGCCAGAATCCTTAAAGCTGACACTGAGACAGAAGCTAGTCACCTCAGTATATTTTCCATTTGCTAGAAACCAAAATGGTTTCTATGAAGCTTGATGCAACAGTGCACACTGAATATTTGTCTGGCAAAATGTGAATTAAATGCAGCAAAATCTAATAAAGTGAGCGGATGTAGCAGTGACAGAGAAAAGCCATGATGGAGAAAGAGACACTTCTTTAGCTTTGCTTTAATTTCACTGAAATGTTCGATAATTTTGTAGTGAAAAATTATCGCTGAGAAAAAAAAAATCACTCAAACATAGTTTTAATACTAGAAAATGTCCATATTTCTTTTTCAACTATTTTATAATCGAAGTCAATGAGAACACTTTCAAATATATTTAGCGTCCATTTGACAGACATGTAGCTGATTAGTTTTGTTATGTTAATGTTTACTGTTTATATTGCTTCTTAGTTTAGCCTTTGTTGTCATCACAATGTCACCAACTACTGATTCCGGTATAATTCATTGCAGCAATAAAAAAAGCAGCTCCTACACCCAGCAGATGAGCCAGTGATGTGGCCACATATATGTTAACAACTTGGCAAAGGATCTGTGTGAAAATGTCTCCTCTGGTACAGGAAACCTGCAACAAAAACACTATTTTGCTCTTTTTGTAGCTAATTAAAGAGAAATGTAGGAACAAAGCAGGTTGACAGGCAGTAATGTGTATTGGACCTGAGGGATTATTCTCTAAATGCTCAGGACAACTTAAAGCACCAGCTCAATTCAGTTCATGACACTAACAGTTGGACATTAATCATGATGCTACCAGTCCTGTGGATCAAGGTTGCAAAATATAAAAACAAGAGATCTAATCAGCTCAACATGGTCCTGGCTGCAGGTCTCGTCTAAATGTAAAGATGTTTGAGTCCTGTCAACAATCTTTTTGCCCCTCAGCGATCTAACCTGCTGAGTGAAATCATCCAAGTAGAAACTCTCAACCTGTCATCATAAAGCCTCTGCCTGAGGCTCTGCTTCAGTCCAATTCAGCTTCACTCCTTATGAAATATGGCTTTGCATTCTTATGCTGTTCTCAGCACTGATTTATGGATTCCATCATATGGAAAAGGCAGACTCACATGGCTTAATAATAGCTTTCATGTGTTATCTGTTGTAGCACATAATCCACTCTGTTGGCCAGGATTTGGTTCATTTTGTGCAAAGACATCAGTAACTTCCAAAAAGGAAATCTAAATAAAGTGTCATTGTTCCTTCTTAATGAGTCACTGGACTTTGAAATGTTCATGAAGCTTTGACATTTTGACATCACTTCATTTTCAGCCTCCTAGTAGAAACTAAGAAGCAAATTGAAGGGGGTTTTAAAGAGGTTATCCCACTTTTGTAAACTTGAATCTTACACTCTTTCTTGCTATAACACAATCGTGCTCTGATTTCACACTAGAGGTGAATTGAAGAGTCATCCATTTTTATGGTTTAGGGACAGAAAAGTAAGGGCTGCTTCTGAACAGAAGCCAGGAGAGAAAACAGACAGAAGCCCTTTCTAAGTGCCAAGCTGTGCAGGAGAGGCAGCGCCCTGCGTGAGTCCGTGGTCCTGGGAGGAGAAGCAGTCATCAGAGTGGACGAAGTGCAGGGCAGTCTGGCTGTAGCTCAGCAAGGCTTGCTCCTTCTCCTCAGCGCCATACAGCAGGGAGTGAGGATGAACCTGCTGGATGTGCCGCTTGATGGTACTGACCTTCAGCGTCGCCAGAGTGGCTCCACACACCATGCAGACCAGGCCGTGTCTCCTACAGTCATAATCCATCAGGTATTCCATTCGCCAGCGCACCTGGTAGTTCCTCCTCTGGTCCTTCCCGGGGTAATGGCCGTGGCGAGGGACCGGGGCAGCAACGCCACAGTCCTTGGATCTGCTCCTCCCTCCGTGAACAGCACTGTCGTTGCTGTTCACCGCGTTGAGGGGAGCGCAGACATCAGAGGTGGAATCCTCATTTCTGCCTTTGGTAGTACTGAAGACAACAGCTTCACTGGGGTTCAGTTCTACAGACACAGAGAGGGAGGGAGGACCTCAGGTTGAACAAAGACCAGCAAACGTACTGCTGTTTAGACTTGTCAGCCATTATTTGCTCTCTTTAATGACAGCAAATAACAAACAGGTTATCACTGCTGCTCCTCACTGTTTCACTGATTGCTGCACATACCAGCTAATCTGTATAAAATATCTACATTGTCCTTGTGCATAGTTTATATTTTTGTAAAGTTTATATTCCTATTAAGAATTTCATTGTACAAGGAAACATGTTTTCTTACTGTCTGTACGGCATGGAAAGTTTTGAATTTGAAATTTGAAATACATTTTCTTTATGTAGGATAATTTTTATTCAATTAACTTCTATAATGAATATTGTATGATAAATCTTCCTTGTGCAACTGTTAGAAATAGGAATGCACCAATACTGATGTCTAATAATATGATAACAGGATGGGCTAAAATTCAGTCAAATCTCTTGAGTGAAAAAAAATCATGAAATGATTTTACACATTGTGCTCTTAGGTCTAAACATTTATTTTATCGGCACATAAGACAACAAACATTATTTACATGACTAAATGACTAATTATTCATACTATTTAACAAGAAGAGCCTTGTTTACAAGACAGAAAGGTGACAGCGTATGATGACTGCAGGGCAGGATGCTATTAATTATTGATAATAGTCAAGATTTAGTGACTGCTGAATAAAGCACAACAATGTGGAAACATTTCTCACCATCTGGTATTTGCATTCCATCAGCAGACGAGTCTTTGGTCCAGGCAGCAGCCATTGCTTCTCTTTCTTGTCGGCTCAGCGTTGTGGTCTCAGGGTGGCATTCCTGAATGTGGCGCCGGAAGCTGCTCACCTTGCTTTCATGCAAGACCTGAGAACACACCATGCAAAAAGTGCCCTGATCTTGGGGCCCATAGGCTACTAGATAGTCGAGGCGGAGTCGCCAGGGGTCACCCCCTCTCAATCGCCTCTTCCTGGACTGCCGGAGAGGCTGGGATGGCAGGTGTGGGGCCCCGACCCCTCCATCCTCACCGATCAAACGAATGTCCTGAGTTAAAGTGCTGTCACCCTCTGGGAACATGTCAGCGTTGATTGGAACCGTCTTAAGGTCTTCTGTGAAAATGTCCGCCCCCTTTACTTTGGTGTTGGGTGTAGGTTCTGACTTGACTGAGTCTGGTTCACCTGGCAGAGAGCAGACAGACCCACAGCATTCAGGTTCTACCCAGAATAATGCACCACTTAAAGGCTCTCCAAAGGTTCAAGCACTTTTACCAACATAAATGCAACAAACCTTTGAATCATCATCTCTACAACATTTTCTAGGACACAGCAGAGGCTAGATGTTACCATGGTGATGTTGATCAGGATATTAAGTGATTAGGGGGTGATGAGAAAGCAAATCATAAGATTAATCATCCGTACCTTAGTAGTCATTTATTGCAAACGTGAATCTAACATAGAATGAAATGTTCTTATGCCTTAAGTTTGAGGCTGTGATGTAAGACACTTTGAACTGCCTTGTTGCTGAAATGTGCCATACAAATAAACTTGACTCGACAGTGGCTGACGTTCTCACCGTGGGTCTGGGCCCAGGCCTGTAGGATGCAGTGCTTCTCTTCTGAGCTGTACACCAGCGAGTTGGGGTGGGTTTCCAGCACGTGGCTCTTTATGTGATCCAAGTGGAGCGAGGGGAGTACTGCTCCACACACCATGCAGAGCAGGCGGCCGGCCTCAGCCTCATACTCCATCAGGAACTCCTGGCGGAACCAAGCGTGCAGAGAGTCATTCAGGTAGCGCTCCAAGGTCCGCGCCGACGGGCCGGGGAGCTCGTGCTCCTCCGCTTGGGGTTGGAGGTTCTCGTCCTCTACGGTCCGTGGAGTCAAAGCGGGGTGCTGCTGTTGGTGCTCCTGCAGTGGAACTGGATCTGGAGTTTCTGGGTATATTGTATTTTGGAACATCCAGACAAAACAAACATAAAAAACATCTGTTTAGAACGCAACCTGAGAAACAGAAGCAGATCAGGATCTTTTATTTAAGAAAGCAGTTATCAGAGGATTGTAGCTTACAGATAGCCCGGTCCATTGTTAGGCTTGATGAGTTCAGATACTGAAGTGTAAAGCAGGTAATGTGCTGCTTTGGGATGTTAAACTGGTACCTTTGCTCTCCAACAGTTATCTTAACTCAAGCAGTAAGTCAGGTGGCAGATTGTTGGGTTCTGCTGTTCCTAACAGAATAGCTTGTAAAGAATATTACAAACTATTCCTTATGGGAGTTTAACAACCCAGTTGCCTGCTGGAGGCTCAGACTGTAAAGATAATTTCTTATGTTAGTGTGAGCAGCAGAACTCTAACAGAACCACAACAAGACTTTTCTGACACTGGGTCTCTTCAAAGAGTGAAAATGTTTCATGTTTGCTTCAATTCATGCTTGCCAACTTCTCATTAGCACATGTATATATTTTCCTAGTACTTTGCTGCCAGCTACTATTGAACAGAAAAACAGCATGCCTGTCAAAGCATAGCTGTCATGTTTTAACAAGAAACTTTGATGAATTGGATCACACTTTTCTGTAATCGCACAATTATGAACAAGAAGGAAAAAGACGTGTGATTTTAAATTAATGAAATGAAATTAATGTTAATTTAAATGTTTGGGGTTTTTTAGATAAAAAAAATGTGATGTATGTGGGAAATGGTGTTTATTTTCAGTCTACCTGAGTCAGTACTTGGAGATTTAGCTCTAGCTGGAATTGCCGCTGCAAGTCTATTTCCAACGGCTCTGACACCTAAGGATGAAGATTGTTGCCAATTCTTTTTCACAAAGCAGCTCAAACTCAGTCCAGCTGGATAGAGAGCATCTGTTAACAGCAGTTCTCATGTCTTGTCACAGATTATCATGTGGACTTGTTTATCCAGAGCTACAAAGAATTATCTCAATCATTCGTTGTAGCTCTGGCTTTCTTCTTCACTTAGTTACCTAATTGGCAATTTCTGAAGTCAACTTGTTGCACTAAATTCTATATAGAGGCATTAGAGTAGAGAAGAATAAATACAAATTTACTCTACACTTTATAGAAGAATATTTGGAAAATGGTTAGAAATCATAATCACATCGTCCAGTCTGTATATCTGGCTTTTGTAATCCCAATTATCTTGCACAGTGTCCCATACACTGATGGGGTACAGCCCCCAAAACATAATCACAAAGTCACACCACTGTCCTCTCCGCCTCTTGCCACCCCAAGTAAGAACATAATGCACATTCCCACTGAATATGAGATCTAAAAAACTCGCTCTACTCACCACCTATATGCTGACCAAAGTGCATAGAATCCTCTTCTCCTTGGAGCGAGGGTCCAGCAGCAGACCTCTGACCTGCCCCCAGACTCAGATGGCTCTCCCATCCAGAGCGGATCACCTCCTTGTCTGCAGCACTCCACAGGAGAGAGTCCGGGTGCTTCTGCCTGATGTGTCTCTTGATGGTACTGAGCTTCAGGGTGGCGAGCGTGCTGCCACACACCATGCAGATCATTCCGTGCCTTTGGGGGTCAAAGTCCATCAAATACTCGCTGCGCCAGTATTCGTGGTAGTAGCGGCGGTGATCGCGGCCAGGAATCCTGCTCAGGCCTGGACGTGACGCTCTCTGGACCCTGGGTTTGCGTCCTGAAGGCCCGGGCGCTGGAGAGAGGAGGAGTGGGTGGTCGGGTCCCTCTGTGATGCTCCAGTAGCTGGTGGCAGGTGATCTCACAGGTGTGACCATACCTGTCTCAGAGTCCTCTCCACCATGGCCATTGGCAAGATTGTCTTCTTCAGAGAGCAAGACAATACACAGATCAGCCACACCGGTAAATAGTAAATTAGATCTAAGCTGAACACACAGACAGTCCTTGTGTTTGTCCTTTACCTCCAGCTCTGACAGACCTGGCCATATACTCATTGATTATTTGGGGAAAAAACATCAACTATCCCAGTTCTCACCAATTCACCAAAACAGTGATTTTCAACCAGGTAGAGCAGACACAGGTTTTAAGTTCTGGTATACCAAAAGTATAGCCAAGGTGTCCGATCTCTATACAGGGAGGGTATTTATATCATTTGAAAAACGTCAAAACAAGTTGAAGTTTTGTTCAAAAATGTTCTGTAGGAATACAAAAATTTTGTATTCCTACAGAATTACTGATATCTTCTGATTCGGATTTCGGCGTTTCATTTTGTCCCAGCAGCACAATAATCTTGATCTATCTTCTTTGTCTTCGCTAGAAGACATTACTGTGAACCTCTTAGAAGATAGAGGACAGGTGTCTATTCTTTGCTTCTTGTTTTTTGATAAATGTAACGAATCTTCGAGCAGCATTCTACAAGTGTGAGTAACAGATCTGGGAGAAAGTTGAAAGCCAGAAGTGGTCAGAGAGTTGAGCTTTGATTCATACTCAATCTGCCAACACAAATGCCAAATTATTACAGTACAGTGGCTAGCTGGGCAATCACTCCAGTTAGATTGCTTCACTTCAACACGAATAGTCCTGACATTTGCATTAAATGCACTTCCCAGAAAAGACATGGCCACATACAAAGTGGGCATGTCCTCACGTATTAGTTTTATTGGAAGGCTGTGTTGACTGTGATTAGCTTGATGACTGGTAAGGAGGTTCCTTTAAATTCTAAAATGTGCATCTTAAATATGTATCCTGAAAAATTTGTTATCTCAAACAATTCAAGATCCCTACTTAGTGATTGTTTTTTGGAAGCTATATGCTGTATTGCATTCTCATGGAAGAAAGAGCCTTGAGAAGATCAGCTATTTTACTAATAAGAAGCTTAACAGATTTTGGGAGATCTGGACTGTCTTTTACACATGGCTGGGCCAAAATGATATCCAACTTGACATGGGAAGAGGACTTGTCATGAGGTCATGTGGCAAAAAGACTAGGTGTTTATGGTGATTGGTCTGCTGGTGGGTCTGCTTTTAGTTTTTTTGTTTTGCCTCTCCCCTCTGTGTGTGTTTGCTTTTTTTTTTGGCTGGGGTCATTTTTATGTAATTATGAGTGTTGCATGTACATGTGCTCTTGTTAATATTAGTAAAGAGATGCTGAAAAAAGAAAGCAAAGAAAAAGGTCAGGAGGGAAACCAGACATCCATCCTGTTCAGATGCCCAGCCATCTCAAGTCAGTCCTTAGGATTTAATTGTTCTACAATATTAAATGGATGTTTGTTTTGTATGTTGCTTTATGTTTTCATCACTACGTTAAAATAATATTTTAAAATGACTGACTTAATGACCCTGACATAAATTTTATTTGACAACTTGTGACTGAACTAAAATTTCATTCTTGATTTTTAAAGTATGTTCAGTTAAAAATAAGACATTTTTAATTTATTGACAAGGTTATATGAAGCAGCTGACTATCAACACTGTCAGATTTGTTATCAAATACAAATAACATTCTTATCATTATACATATCTGTAAATATCAAAGCAGCTATATTACCTTTTGTTTGTTTCTGTTACTACTTTGATACAATTACTCATGTTTATTAACAGAATCTCATAAAAAATGTCAGGGCAAATTCTGTGAATGTTAGATTTGGTAACTCCAGAGGGCGCTGTTAAGCTTCACCTAAATACTGCTCCACCACATTGAAAGGAAATGGTTGTGGTGGATTAGTGATGTGCTGAATTGTAACAAGAAAACTCAAAAGTGAAAAGGTCAAAATTATTAGCCCTCATTTGATAGTGTGGCCTGTCTGCCTTACAGTTGATGACAGCTTCTGTCTGTAGTTCTTCATAAGGTTGACATGTCTGACTTTTGAGGTATGGCAAATCACTGTAGACCACACATCTACATTGTGTGGTCTTCTAGCATGGACGTTGACATTAAGCACCTGCCAAAGATTCTCAATGGGACTGATATTTGTGATCTCTGAGGGCCACTCCATGACCCAGATCTAAACGAGACAGATTTATTTAAATTATTCTTCAAAATGACAAGATACTACTCTTTTTCATGACCCTATGAACACAAACAAGGTTCCGGGTGGCTGAAGTAGCAAAACAGTCCCACAGCATCATGTTCTCACCACTATGTTTAACAGTGGAAGCTGTATTTTTAGGGTTGAAGGTCTCTATGTGTCTTCTCCAATCAAAAGCAACATCTCTGCACCCAAAGATCTCAAGATCAGTCTCATCAGACTAAAGAACAGACTTCTAAAAGAAATCCCCATGTTTCAAATGCACATGAGCAAACTCTAGTCAGGTATTGATGTCATTGTTTCAGTAACTGAGTTTTTCTTGGATGATAACCATGAAGTCTTCCATGATGAAGAGCTTTCACAAATATCTTCCTTAACACATCATCTCCAATAGAATCCAGCTAAGCAGCAATGACTTGGCAGAGACCGAGGGATGAATGTTGACATCTGATTATTTTTTTGAAATGTTGCGCTTACAGCCACACTCATGTCTGTTTGCAACAGAATTTGTGTCTTAGTGCTTTGCAATGTTATGATCATATTGCTGTTCTTCTTGTTAACTTTATTTTATCCGGATAAAAAATCCCCGGGTAAAATAAAGATTAAAAACCTCTTTTTAAAGGATGACGTGGCCAAGAGACAGCAACAAATACAAAACAGAAAAATAGACAGCTAAAAGAAAATATCAAGGAATTGGTTTGTAGTCACTGGTCTTGCTAATCAGAGTAGATTATGGAAAGATTCAAAGCTGACTGAATCAACTTTGTGATGTGAAAGGTTAATTGGACGTTCAGTTGTAGTTTTAAAGCTATTTGAATGATCAGACTTGACTTGGAAGTAAAGAAAGCAATGGAGGTCTACATGTCGGCCTTGTCATTTGTCAGTTTTCTTGTTAAATTCAGTATAGTGTACACCTTAATAAAATAAGCTAATCAAACGTTGTAGAGATTTTGTCTTATAGAAGCAATGCAAGTATGAACAGTTTTCATTATGGTCATTTCCATGGACACATTAAGGTGAGTGATAATAATTCTGACCTCAACAGTATAGTTACATAATACCACTTAAACTAAATTTTGGCAATAAGTTACAAAGACATAATCAATTTATAATAGTTCTGGGTCCACTCTGGTTTCTCTTTTCCTGCAGAGTAAAAGTCTTAATGGGCAAAAAGAGGATTCCACTCAGTTACATACAAACATCCACATAATGACTCATTTTAATTCCACTTTAAAATGTGTTCAATACATTTAAGGCCTGATCAAAAGTGAGAACACAGGTTCATCTTTTACAGCTAAATACTAGAGATCAGAATCTGGGATGGACTTTCCTAAACTTTCCAAGACACACTGACACAAGACAATTTCAAAGTAAGTCTTTTATCATCCAGTTCTGAAGTCCTAACATTGGCTTGTTGTAGCTCAGAGAACTGACCTTAATGTACTTTAGCTAGTTTATAAATCACTCAATGGTTTAGCACCAAAGTAGATTAAAGATCTGTTGTTGTTGCTGTTGTTGTAACCCAACTTCTGATTTTCTGGTTCAAGTCTACTCTATATCTGCAGAACCAGAATCAAACTCGGAGAAGCAGCATTCAGTTTTTATGCTCCACTAATCTGGAACAAACTAGCAGAAAACTACAAAACTGCTGAAACACGGTGTTTCTATAATTCAAAGCTAAAAACCCATTTATTTAGAACTGCTTTTGGTTAATATTAACTGGAGCATCATTAATTTTACTCTGTATTTCACCTTTTCTCTCTTTATTGTGCAAATGCTTGTTGCTCGTTTGTTGTTTTATGTCTTCATCATGTAAATCACTTTGGCTCGCCTTGCTGAAATGTGCAATACCAATAAACTTGTCTTGCCTTACAATCGCTGTCCTCTAGATGGCAGCAGTGAGTCGCTTCAGCTTGTATGCTGTTGAGCCTTTGTTTATAGGAGCCACAGAGACAGAGGGGCCATGCCGCTCCACGGCTTTGTCCCTGACACGGATTAACTGTCTGACTGACAATGGCTGTGTCACTGACAACCACGCACACCCACTCAGCTGTGGCCCTAAAAGAAAAAAGAAAAACACATTTTGTCGTTTACCTCCCAAGTCGCTCCCCTCCTGCGTCGTTTCCTCCTCTCCGCTTATTATTAATGAGAGCAACTCAGACTGTTCGGAAGAGCGGAGGTCCACTGGCTCGCTCTCCCTCGTCTCTTTCTCTTCCATCACTGGCCTGGCTGTTGATGTAGTTGTAGCTCGTGTACTACCTCCCTCCTCAGCGGGTTGAAGCGGCGGAGCGGGACATGTCACTCTCACATGAACAACATGTCACAGCAGGAACATGTTCCGCCGCGCGGCACCGTTCGACACGCATCTGGCTGGCGCTCATCGTTCTGGAGCCCGTGTTCTCCAGGGTTTCTCCCACGCGCCCCGCACGGGAGCCAAGTTAACTTTTCATAGAATCACTCAATCCGCCGGCGAAAACACTTTGTAGTGTTCAAGCAAGACTCGTCTCAGCTTAGGCCTCCAGTAATGTATTTTAAGGTTCTTGCTTGTCTTCTGGGTGGGGAGCCGGACTAGGGGCCCCTGGGGCTCCTTAAGGGGCTCCTGGGTAAATTTAAAGAGACAGTAACAGCGTCGACGACGCACACCCACCCCGGAGGGGGGGCAGAGCGAGCAGCAGGCGCTAATGCTGATAAGCTGCTAATACAACGGCTGTTGTTCTATCATAAACACGCGATGGCAGAGACGCTTTAGCTCATGTTCAAACACAAGGCGGTTCCATGTCACCAGGGCCCCTGGGCCCCAGATCACAACATTTTTTAAATGGGGACTTATGTAGTTTGACTGTTATAATTAGCCTTATTTTCCTAGTTCAGTTCGATTTAATTTATGCAGTGCAAGACAGATTAATTTTGTATTCAGTTATAGCTATAGCAATTTATAATAAAATCATCCCAGTTGATGCCAGTACATTCAATATAGACATTTGCATTCAACCACAGTCCAGTTCTATTGTAAATATAATACAGTACAATTGGAAAAAGTTATCTTGGTAAGGAAGCCCAGCCAATAGAATACAGATTAATGACTTTGTTTCTCCTCCCTTGCAAGAATATGGCAACCGAGGACAGATGATTGCATTTGATAGGTATACTTTGCAGGAGTCTCTTAACTGAGAAAGCATGTGGTGAAAGTGGAAAGGAACGACTCACAGGAACAACAGACTGGGGCTTGAGAGAACAGAAAGCAGACTCAAAGAAGAACTGGTCTACGAGTCATTTTAAGCATCTAGTTTAGCTATGGTTGTTTAATTATTTTCTCAACTGATTGTTTAGTTTGATAATTTTTTTTAGCATAGTGGGAAAATCCCTAAATTCTCTGATATAAGGGGTCCAGATAATGAGCACCAATACCAATTTAAAAAGCTAAATCTTCCACATTTTGCCTACATGTGCTTTTTAAAAGCACTGGTTTGATAAAAAAAAATTATTAGGACAAACCCTTAGTCTTTTTGTCTCAGTGTGATCACAAAACATATAGCTGCATGTTTTACATCCAAACACGTTCACATAAAGATATTCAGTACCACAATGATTCATGCCTCTGGCAGGTTTGCTAAATATATTTTCACTTAAATCAGAAGTTTATCTCAGAAGAGAAATAATATAGACATTTTTCAAAACATCACAATACATATATTAATATTTACATTTTACTTAAAGATGCCATATCAAAAAATTATGTATACCCTTCTAATTCATACTCTTCCTATAACTGATGATGAGCGTTGTCCTATGTTGTCACTGTTATTTTGACAATTGGTGATTTGAATTTTTATTTTGTACCTACATGTTACCTTTTCATCACTGTATACTTTCATTTCTACCAACTGCACTTATGTCAGCAGTGGTGCTGTTGTCTGGCAGCAAGAAGGTTCTGGGTTCGATTCCCGGCCCAGGGTCCTTCAGCACGGAGTTTGCATGTTCTCCCTGTGAATGCGTGGGTTCTCTCCGGGTACTCCGACTTCCTCCCACAGTCCAAAAACTTGATTGTTAGGTTAATTGGTCTCTCTAAGTTCTCCTTAGGTGTGAGTGTGTGTGTGTGTGTGGATGGGTGTTTGTCCTGTCTGTCTGTGTTGCCCTGCGACAGACTGGCGACCGGTCCAGGTGTTAGATTTATTTATATAGCACCATTTGCACAAAGAGCTTGACAGGAAACTGAAGGAACATAAATAACATACTGGGCATCTGGAAAATACTCACAGTGCTTTTCCAGTGCATTTTTGTCTTATTCCAATCTGTATTAAATTAATCTCTTTACTCAAATTCTATAACCCATATAATAATATGACATTTTTCGAGTGTTGTGCAATATACATAATAAATTACATGTCTTGGTTACACATTTAGAAAATACACATTAAATATGAAATACCACATAAAAATAGAGGAGATGTTAAAATGCTGGTTTAACAAAACATTTGACGTAACAGAAATCAAATGATAAAACCCTCTTTGGTCATCAATTCATGATATTTTACAGGAATATACAGTAAAATATTACTGTAAACAACAATAAAATTTTCAGCACTAATTTAAAGGAGACAACCATTTCTGTACGTCTAAGGCTTTCAGGGGATATAGCAACTAAATGTTTTCTCGTCTTGTTAAGTCAGATAACATGACCGTTGTGACGTAAACATTTGAAAACAATTGGATATGTATCCAGTGTAACACCATATATGTGATTGTTTTCCTAGTCTTTCCCAGCCAGCATTCCTAAATGGGCATAAATGTGGGCAAAAATATGGGTCCCACATGGTTTTTCCACGGTTTCCATGGTGGATATAAAAATCCAGATAGACCTATGTAGGGCCACCATGGAAACCGCAGACAAAACCATGTGGGACCGTATTCTTGCCCACATTTATCAGTGCAATAATAATTTATAATGTTCAGATGTCTAGAAGATCACATTATGTCTTCAACGGTTTATACCATATCCTAGCATCAATAATTTAGGTTCTAGTCCCTTTTTGATATTCTTCATGAAATCTGATAAGATCATGATTATTCCCTCCAGTAGAAGTAATAAAATTGCTTCATATTGTTGGCTGTCAAAGTGGGAACAAACTGGTCCTTAGTGGGTTTGAATTGATGTAAGGGTCACTATAAAACATGTTTATGGAGGGTGAAAAGGGACAAAATAAATAAATACATCATCATATCTTTAATTAAATGCCCCATGTGGGACTTTTAATTATGTCCCACATGTTCAATTAACCATTTCATTGAACATACTTATTCAATTAAATAGTTAATTTATTTAATAGACATTCTATAAAATATATTAGATCATTAAAATACAAACTTATAAAAGCCAATGTTAATAATTAATTAATCGAGGGGTGATGCTAACACTGACTTGTTGAGCTCCACTTTTTTTTTAAATTATGTTAGCTCTTGTAATGCTGAATTCTCATTAGCTTTTGTGTGAGCTGTTAGGAGAGATTTTACAATCAGCAGACATGGAAGCAGGAGTTTATTATTCAAACTACTTAGCAGATAAAGTCAAAGAATTTCAATTCATGAAACTCATGTTTGACTTCTCTCAAGATAGACCGATATGGCTAGTGAAGCTAAGCAGAAACCGTTAAGAAATCAGTGGATCGTTTTTTATCCCTTTCAACTAGAACATGTTGATTTTTGGCAGCTTGACATACAATCTGTTTTAATGGCCCCAGAAGATTACTATGCAGTTACTGTAAAAATGGTCAATATTTAGTTGCCAGGCAAGTTGATAAACCCGCTATTTATGGTTGTTTGTTCACATATAGATAGTTGTTTTAATTTGTAAAACAAAGCAAAACAAAACAAACAAACAAAACAAAAAATAAATAAATAAAAAATACTGGTTTAAAATGCAATAAGATAAGCGGTTCCTCTCCGCACGCGCACACAAACACGCGGTGGAGCGAGCATCCAGGTCCCACATCCTGGTACTTTGAGCGTTGTCAAGGCTGCTTCAGGCTGAACACGGCTGGCGGACAGTAGCTGCGGTGGCCTGGCCCTATTCTGTCCAAACAGCGGTCGTATAAAGTGTCCCGGAAAGTTAGGTGTAGCTGGAAGGTAACAGACATGCATGTTTCAGTTCCTTACTGTTGTAATCTTGCTGCTTTTCCTTGTTAGCCTGCTCCTTTTCCCTCCATGTTTAGACGCAGCACACACAGACTGGCGCCCCCTCCGTTCGGACAACAGGCGGAAGATGTTGTCCATTGTGCCGCTGAGTGAGACAGGGATCCGGGCATGCTTTACGTAAAAATGTAGCCATGTATGTCACTAAGGGTTGGTATATTCTCCTTCACTGAGGTTATGTTTAGTAACGTGGCCGCGCCTCAAACCAAACAATTACAAGTAAGGGATAAAGACGGTCTACGACGGGACTAATTTGTGATTGAAAAGGGACATGTTTAAAGGGACAGAGACTGTTTCCTTCCTGGTTACAGTAGCTAACACGTTTTCACACACTCGAATGCTTGGCTTTAAACGGAAGAAAACATCACGAAGCTCCTGTAAAAATGCGTCATGTATACTTTACAAACAAATGTTAACCACAAATGATTTTGGAACAGATGGGTCATTTTAGTCATCTCCATTGTCTCGTTATTTGGACAAAGCCTTCTTATTGTGGTTTAAATAAATTAATAATATTATAGGAATAAAATAAGAAAAAAAGTATATATATATATATATATATATATATATTGCCTGTGTGAACTCAGAATGTTATTTATGTTGGACTGTTCCATATACAGACTACAGCCATATTCCCTAACCCTGACCCTCAGGGGCCACTATCCTGTAGGTTTGAGATCTGTCCCTGCTCCAACATACCAGTCTTAAACAATTGTTTAGCATGCCATTAAGTTCAGGTGTGTTGAGGCAGCAAAAACTGTTAAAACACATAAGACCAAGAACAGGGACCAATTCTTTAGAGCAGAATATAAAAATACATATAAAAACTTTATAGACTCTTGTCTATAAAGTAGGCAGCAGTAAAGTGATCATTTAAAGCAAAGACCAAATAGAAATCACTTTTTGCTTTTATTGAAAGCTTTAAACATAAGTGTTTCTGTCTAATGTGAGAAAATATTCTTAAAGAAACCCATCAGAACCAAATGGGTCATCCTGTTTAGATGTTTTTAAGATACATCTACACCCATGCTTCACTTGTTATCAGAGCCAGTGCCAGTGGTACTTAGTTGTCTTTAGTTGACTTTTTTGGCCTCTGACACCCTGTTGGTAAAATGTTTTCTTGCTCTCCCTTAAAAGTATTGATTTAGATTGTTGAAGTCTGTTGAAATGTATGTGATGTTTTATTTCAGTCAGGTATCTAGACTTTGTTTCAATGCAACAGTGTGTGGTTTTTGTATCTGTAACCATAGATTTATTGTTCTATTTACAATCATGGAACAAGTTAGTGGTCAGTGACTGATTCTGTGACTACAGAAGTCCAACACCATGCAAGACAGTTGGAACAAGTCTTTTCTGCCGATACACTATTGCAGTGTAAAATGTTTTCCTCTACTGCGTAATCCTTATTAAAATAATTAATGGACCTTAATTATTTTTAAAGGGTTTTACAACCTCTCTAGGCTTGGTGAGCAAAAGGAACTACTGTTTTTGTAAGATTATTGCATTCTAAATAACATTTGTTCCAAAACCTCCAGACAACCAAAAATCCAGACTTGTTGCTTTTTTACAGTGCTCACATTTGCTGAACAGCAGGTAATCAATTCTCTATATAAGCAACACCTGGCTGCTAAATATCCTCCTAATTAATAACAAAACTGCCGGATAAGCTTTGTCTTATTTATGATTATCTTTATGTAGCTCCTGCATATTGGTTTGCTGTATTGTTCTATAATCTGTCCTGTGTAACTAGCTTTATATCAGTATTAAGAATTTTTAAGGCCCAGGGACAAGCAGGTATGTCAACTTGTGATAGGTTCAAACTTTAAAACTTGCATCACTACTTTTTAAATCAGAAGCTGCGGTCTTTGTTTGTAAATGTAATGTGGCAAAAATACTGTTGGTACTAATTTCTCTGCTGTCCAGTGTTATCTGAACAACCTCTTTACAATGGATCTTACTGACATTCACAAGCAGAATAACTTTCTTGCTGGTGTGTATTGGATTTCACAGGCTTGTCTAATATTTTCTGTAATATCTTTAGAAAAACATTTGTTACACACTTTGTTTAAACAAAGTTATCATCCTCAGCCAGGAAAATACAATTCAACAGGATGTACATGTTTGACGCTCAATAAATTTCAAATATTTGCGAGGTTTAATGCAAAAATGCATCTAAAGGTTGTGTTGTTTCCCCTAGGTACTGCTGCATGCCAGTGCAATGCCATCTGCTCAGCAGCATCTCCTGGGAGAACAGTATGGAGTTAACCACCCTGAGTCTCTACTGAGGAACTCAACTGATTTACTGTGACAAAGATAAATCTTGCTGTTAGATGAGAACTAATGGGCTATCCAAGCTAACGATAGCATGCCATCTCAGAAAGGTAAAGGTTGTCCAGCATCCCATCGCTACCGGCCAGCCTCCGAATATGATGATGCCACGCTAGCCCAAAAGAGAGAATATTGGAGAAACAAGAAAAGGGAGCAAAGGGCCCGAATGTCTGAACAGAGAAAGAAGTCAACACAAGACAGCAGTGAGGAAAAGCTCTCATACATGTATGTCTCTGCAGGGGTCAATACCAATTTGTCAGACCCCTTGGCTGCCTTGTCCTCTCCTTTGCTAAGTAATGATATCTCCTATAGTTCTTTATCAAAGAGTGAAAGGACAATTGAACACAGTTCTACAAAGGCCCCTAAAAAACAGGAGCGGCATCAGGCAATGACAGTTAGCAAGGTCCTGCGTAACTTGCAGCCAACATCGTGCTCCATTTTGGCTACAGCAGCTGAGGGTGGTTTGGTCACAGTGAAACGTCCAACAACCAAAAGTCTTAGGAATCTGGTTACCTCATCCAAAAGCAGCGGAACCGAACTGAACACCAGTTCATCAGTGCCTCCAGTCAGAGTAACCCCTTTTACCAGCAGCAGCTCCACAAAAACAGAACCCAAGCCATGTGGATCTATGCAGGACTCATCAGTCCCAAACACACCATCAGAGGCACAAGTGGCATTGAATGGGCTGCAGGTGTTACCTTGTGTAACAACAGATACAATGCATGCAGCTTTATGTGGCCCTGCTTTTAATAAAACAGAGGGCCAAAGAACACACACAACACCTCAAAGTGGATTAAAGAGTGCCTTGGTCACTATTAAAAGGGCTACATGTTTTGGCATTACACCAGCTTCCATGGAGTCGGAGGAGGAGAGAGCAGCCAAGCGAAGAGAGCACTGGAGAATCAAAAAACGAGAGCAGAGAGCAAAGCTGGCAGCTAAGACCACTGAAGTCAGAGAGAGGCCACAAAACAGAGATGGGCTACCGGCACAGAAAACAACACATGTGGCCAACTCAACTCTGACCTCTCAGTCGTTTCTGAGAGGCACAAGCCAGAAGCGGAATCCAGTTCGGGTTAAAGTGCCATATACAACAGTCAAATTGGAGACCGACAACCTGCAACGTGGGTTAGCTGTCCCTGACCTGCAAACAGAGCAGATAAAAGTACAGAATCCACATGGGCATAAGATGGAACAGACAGTCGTAATGTTTAACACAACCGCAGTAAGGAAGCCAGCAGAATCACAGAAAAAACTAACTTATGTGCATCATTCTAACATTACCCAAGAGACTTCATCATGTAAAACACTTCGACAAAGGTACATTGAAACACAGAAGAATTTCCTGAATCAGAGAAATCTAAGAAATAAACCTTTCTTGACATTTGCAGGGTTTCGTACCAGAGCTATTCCCACAATGGACACTAATGACACACCAGAGCAAATACTAGCCAAGCGGAGAGAGTACTGGCGGAATAAGAAGCGTGAACAGCGAGCTAATCTGTCACTGGAGAAGAAGATTCGACTAAAGGAGAAGGACTCTTTGACACGCCGGGTAAAGCGTTACCAACAAATCCTTGAAGAAATGAGAAAGGCAAGAGCCTTGGCGCATTCAACTGAAAAGACCCCTACACTCGCATCTGAGGCCATTGGGGGGTTTATCAAAGAGGATGGGACTCTGACAATTAACATACCTCAGAGTGCAAAATATCAAAGTATAGTTGGAGACAAAACTGAGGAAAAGCTCCATGACATTTCTAAGAAGATGCAGCCAACGTCACAAACTGACATGAACTGGAGAAGTGTTTCCCCATGTAGGGTAAATCGGCATTCACCTCTGTCTTGCTCATCTCAGGGTAAAGCTGCTTTTTCTTTTGTCCAGACAGTCAACAAAACTTCTAAATTAATTGCTGTCAAACCACAATCTCACCTTGACATAACTAGTTCCAGTTCAAAGCCAAGCAAAAGTGTTCAGCAGCTCACACTAACTCATCTCCAGTCCCCTCAAAACGCAGCCTCAGCCGCAGGGTCAAAATTTGGTGGCTGTGTCATGAAAATGAGCATCTCAAGCCATACGCCATCACTTCCACTGCTATCTGTGGGTCCAAAGCTGTCAGAAGAGGAGAGGATGGCGAAGAAGAGGGAGTACTGGAGAACAAAGAAACGTGAGCAGCGAGCAGCTCGTGCTTCTCGCCTGAAACACAGTATTTTCCAAGCAAGGACCAGTGCAGGGTTACTGAGGAGGAGGGTGCATACACAAGAATTAAACACCGTGCAGCCGAGCACCAATCTTACCATCGGTGCAGAAAAAGAACAACATTTTCCAAACAACTCTGTGAGTGCTATACCACATGCAGATGAAATAAAACAGGAGGGTGAGTCTGTGCCAGCAGCTGACCTAAATTCTCTACCAGATCGAGCCATCTGTCCAGACAAACCCCCGACCGCCCCACCTGCACCTCCAGAGCTGGAGCCTGAGACGTCTCTTAATTCAGACAGCCAAGCCACCACTCTGCTGGCTGTAGCCTCTATGAAGAAACTGCTGGAGGAATCCCTCAGCTCAGTTTCTGAGAATCAAATCGAACAGGCTGGCGTGGCAATAGGAACAACCGAAGATGCTTTAGAGCAGGACATAAAGCCTGTTTTATCACAGCTTCATTGTGAAAAGAATGACAAGGATTTATTACCTGCTTGCTTGAGATCCCAAATTAAAAGCTTGCTGTTGGATAGCGACGTGCTGGAGGGAAAAGACTTACCAAATCCCCAGCTCAGTGACGAGGTTCCATCTCTTTCTGCCTCAGGTGAGGTGGCGCACTCCGCCTGCACTCAGTCATCCCAGACGACTTCAGCACCATTCATCACCACAACCTCGTCATGTGGAACTCAAAGATCTTACAGCAGCAATTGGGCCCATCAAAGCTGCTGGTCTGAGGAGCTACCGAAGCTCCATCACATCACAACTACATCACTGGATCCACTTCAGCAGCATCACCTTGATCAGCATGATCAGCAGAGTCACAACAACTCTCTTCCACCTGCAGAAAGGTTCTGCAGCAGTATGACAAGGACGAGCAGCTCAAACAGCCTTCAGAAGAGGGAATACTGGAAGCTGATGAAAAGGCAGCAGAGGGCGAGGTTAAAGGCCAGACAGAAGGAGATTCTTTCAAAGAATACCCAGGTGAGCCAAGAGTCAACCTCTTGACCTGGATGTTGATTTGTGTCACAATGCAAAATGTTCTGTAAGAGACCTACCAGATGTTAAAAAATGTAAATTTACTGACAGAACTTAAATGTTTTTTGTTCCTTTTTATGTGGCAGATCAACACAATGTAGTATGTAACTGTGAAGTAGATGGAAAATGATATGATGATGCAGATGTGAAGAGTAAGGTATACTCAAAATACAAATATTATAATGTATTATTATGTAAAAGAATAAGTCTTTGTCCCACCAAGAGTTTTCAGAGATAAAAGAAACCATTGTATGTTTTATATCTAAGACATGGTTTCGATTTTGGTTCTCCAGCAAATGTAAAGGGCCGTAATTTAACTAAGAACAAAGATTTTGATTTCTATTTTTCCATTTGCATTTGAGCTGGCTAGAAGTATCTTAGCATAAGAACATAACAACAGTTGATTTCTGAAGTTGGCTCAGTTCCAGCCTTGTAGGCAGGAGCATCTACTCCCACTGAAACCTGAATCATTACTCCATACCTCATGCTAGTGTTGGGCTCTCTGAAAACTATATCTACACTGCATGTTCCTCTTGCTGAATATCCTTCTGTTTCTGTTATTTTCTGTCTTTCAGGCTGCAGGACTTGATATTAATGTTAGTGAATGTGTAAATCCATCAAAGCCATCCATCCAGTCCTGTTCGTCTGTCACAGACAGACCTGCCATGAGCAGCGTCCCTGACATCCTGGTTGGTTCATTATGTAAAACTGAACAGTCACCTGACACACACTGTGTTAAACCCCCCATCATCAGCAGAGAGGGAAACATGAACGATGGACCTTCATCACATCTGACTGACTTTCTTGGAGTTTCTTCACCTCACTGTCAAAAGTGGACACCCAGAGCCACAGAAACTGAGACAGCCTCTTCTCTCCCTACTCTGAAGCCCCCAGACAACCCTCTGACAAGCATCCACCTGCAACCCATTGAACTTCCCGATCGACATCAAAATCCCATCCTTAGTCCTATAAAAATCTCCTGTGCTCAACTTCAAAGTCCCATAAATAAGGTGGAGTCTTCTGCCCAGGCAGCATCAATATGCATCATGATGCCTCCAAAGCCCATCCCTGGGGCGTCTGAGGAGGACTTTCTGAAGAGAAAGCGAGAGTACTGGAGGTTAAAAAAGAAGGAGCAAAGAGCAAAGAAGGCATTTCAGTACAAGGGGTGCACCTCAATGAGAGCCTCCAGCGGTGGCAGCAGCTCTGATCTGCCTGGTCAGGATCTACAGACGCTGACGACAGCTATGGAGGCAAGTCCAAAACTAAACGGTGTAGATAGTAAGGCTAGATCCTTATGTGGATCCTTTCAATCTTTGCTGATTTGATCACATTTCCAAATATTTTTGAAATGGATGCAATTAATCTTTTTTTTTTTTTTTTTGCCAAATTTGACTATAAAAAGTAGTCAAATCTATTACAGATTTATGTAAAATGAAACATAAAAACAAATCATGTTCTTGTGAAAGATCTTATGAACTTGCTGCTAATTTCCTCTCCTGTTTCATTTTTGTAGGTAGGTTGCCATCACCCTAATCATAATTAGCATTGTTAGTCTCAACGCATTTTGAGAAAATAGCAACTGGGACTTATGCCATGGTGTCTTCCTGTTTTGTTTTTCCATGTACTTCCTGTAGGATTCCAGTCAGTGGGTAAACTCCTCTGATGCATCAGAAAATCTAATGAGGTGGGAATTTATGTAGCTTCTGTTTTTAGCCTTGCCTCCATCAGCTCTACCTAATATAATCATCTTGTTTCGTCAGCATCCCAGTGGATCCCGACCCACCACCCTTCATGTACACCAACTGCCCAGCACAGGTAGAAGGTAAATGATCATCTGTCACTCTTTGCTCACTAATCTGTTCAGCATGGCACAAAACAAAATTGTCTTTAACTTTTTTTTTTTTTTTTTCAGATGAGGCAGATATTTTGTTTGCTGATCATGCTGATGGTGATGATGATCATGATGACGAGGAGGAGGATTCTATGTCAGAGGAGGTCTGGAGAAACCGCTACCTCATGGACTATGATCCACTCAACCAGCTGCTGGTGTGCATGGTCTGTGGTGAGCTGCAGTACTCCCACAGCCTGGAGGGAGTGCGGGCCCACATCGACGAGGCGCACCCCCTCACCCTCAGGCTGGAACCCAGGGAGAAACAGAGGATCCTGGAGGCCTGGGATGAGCAGGTGTCGCAGCGGGAGCGTTTCTTCAGCAGCCAGCTGCAGCAGCACTGTGGTGCTGCAGAAGGTACCCTGAGCCTGCCAACATGTTTTACCTGGCTAACAGCAAACACTATAAACTTCACATTCACTTAGTCATAAAGTCTTGGATAGCAGCAGTTCAGTCTTCCTGTGCCAGAGATGAACACGATGCTTGGCAATTCTACAATCCCAAGATCCAATAAGTCCCATAAAATTCCTATTTTTATTTTTATTTGTGTTGTTAAATGTGTGCTTTTGAAAAAGGTGATCTGAAACAGCTTGAAAGAAGAAAAGCAGTGTTTGGACATTAGACAGTTGTTGCTGCCGGTAACAGGTTTTGTTACCTGTTCAGGTCAGAATATATTCACACGTAATAGTTAAACGTTATTTTCAAAGTAGATGCTCATAATTTAATCTTTACTAGTCACAAAGAGCATTTCAGTTCACCTGAATGCCTTCGTCCTTTTCCACAGTCAGCATGTCAAATAACTCAGACAGCCGTTTCTAGAACAAATTCAGCAACCGTTTACAACAAGACCGTCCAAATGAAGTCCGGTTGTTGGAAATAAACAGCTGAGACTTCTGCTCTGAACCCCATTGAAAACCTCACGGTTATTCCACCAAATACTGACTTATGATCTCTTCCTGAGTTAAAACATTAGTATTCTGGTTTCTAAATGAAAATGAACTTGTTTGCTTTGCTGAAAGCGCTGCATCTTTTTCGTTATTTTGACTTTTACTCATATTCTGCAAATAAATACTACATTTTTGCTTGGAATTTCAACAAAAATTTAGTATTTTTATGAACTACTGACTACTCTACGTCAGTAATTCATAAAAATACTGTTCTTTCATAGAATAAAAGAACAATGTTCATTTTACTCAAACATATAACTATAAACAGTAAAATCAGAAAAACTGTTCATTTTAAGTGGTCTCTTAATTTTTCCAGAGTTGTTTATATTAATAAGATCAGTCAGATTCACACCAACACATATAGACAGATTCAGAGAATAACATTATGACCATTGACAGGCAAAGCGAATAACTGAAATCGTAGAAGTGTGTATCACAGAAAGTGAATGTGCTTATATATTTTTATCAATCGATTGATCTGTATGCATGTGAATTTATCTTTTATTATTGATGCTTTTTGCCCTCAGATTATATTTGAACAACATACAAAAATAATCTTTTCAAATAAATGTAATAACAGGATTCTGGACTTGTGTGACGTTCCTGAGATCATTGATCCTTTCTGGTATATTGATTTTGTATGCAGTATGACCACATGACTAATCTGTGAGATAAAGGGTTCTGGTCGGGTTCTGGGGATCAAATTCTGCTTCCACTCACTGACATGTAACCCAGTCTTTAACCCAGAACATGCATCGGTGTTAAAACTTTTTCACATCTTCTACCTGACTGATTCCCCTCTTGGGACTCAGTATTTACTATAAATAGCTCAAATTCTATTTTTTCTTTGTTTTGTATTTTTCAGTTTAATCAAAGTCTTGTTGATGATATTTTGACTGTTTTCTGCTTTCTGACTTGTTTTTACAGAAACATACAGGAACTGATGTGTAAAGGAGATTGCTGCAGAGTTGACTGGAAACCAAGTCCAAAAGAGAACATCATCTTTCTATTTCTTCTCTTAGTTCTGTTTTCCATTTCTTTTTATTTAATTAAAATCATTTTAAAAGAAAAGGCTAGGTTAGGTCGTGGGTTTCGGAAAAGTGGTAGAAAGCTTTTTTGGATTAAAACTGGGCCAGATTATATGTTCCTTGATTATATTTGGGAATAAAAGACCAACAGATTTACTGGGCTTGATTTGCTCCCACAGTTAAAACCTATTGAATAATTCAGTTCTGGACACATTCCAGTCTTTATGTTGTTGTTTTTTTTTGGATCCAGGTTCAGTTTGTGCTGTCTCAAGTTGTGTAACTGCTTTTTAAAAGTGTCCGTACCATGCTGCTCTTTGAAGCCCTTTACTGTATATTTTCCTGTTTTATTATTTGAGGCAGCTTTTTCTTCTGACTTCATCACCTGTGTGGAAATCTTTCTGCAGTACCTTCAGGGTTTTTTTTCTCTTGTATGTAAATAAATACAAAGGTAGCTGTGAAAGGCCAAATTTTTTAATGCTGTTTATTGTTAATATTATTTTTAACATTATTTATTATTTGTTGATCTTTCCTAAACATAGTTAGCTGAAGATGCATTATTCATTCATACATTTCCATGTAGAGTAGGACAGTCTCTCATTTGTAAGTATTGAATAAAGATTTTTCTGCATGAGTAGTAAATGAAGCATCGCAGCTAAATATCAGAATGCATTCCCGATTTTTGGTTTTTATCTCTTTAGTATGAAGCTTAACATCCTGAATGAACTTTCTAAGCACAAAGTGAGAAAACCGAAGCACAGCTGTAACAGAGTGAGGCGCTGGACTTTACCTTGTTTTTTCACATTCGAATGTAACTTGATGACATGTTTACCTGTTTGAGAAGAATCTTTAAATGCCTTTTCCAGTAATAAATCATTTCTACATTTTGGTTATTCAGTGCAGTTTTTTATACACATCTTATTCAATAATTATTCTGATTAGACTTTAAAATAAAGTCTTTTAATACTATCTTCATAAAAATCCAGAAATAACCCAAGTCTGGGGGTTTAGAAATGGCTAAAACAGATAAAATGGAAAAGAAATATTAAAGACTCCTGCTCACTTCATTAAGAGTGGTTAACCTAAACCATTAAAACCAGATTGGTTTGTTTATTTTCTGGTTTTAACACCTAAGTTTAAAAAAGTGACTATATTTTATGGTAGAACAAAGTATTTCATTTTTAATTTGTTGGGGACCTTGTAACGTTTTCCCTGAGGTGATACAGCTGTAAACAATGTCACTATGTGTTAGAAATTCTAAAAGTTGAAATAAACCCATCAGGAACATTTTAATGAACTAGTTAGCATCATGGTGTTTACATAGTAGCCATCATCAGGCAGGATGTACAAATATATTTTGACAAGGTGAAAATATATTTGTAATGTATTTTATGACTTTTTCCACGTGTGCAGAGCTGCAGTCAATCATGAGCCAAAATCAATCAGGAACTGCAGTATGCTTTCAACAAGTTTTTTCACTGGTACTGGATGGAATGTCAGACAAGTGTATGAGATTGGTGTAAGACATGTACCAGAACAGTGAGACAGTGGTGAGGTGTGATTCCAGAAACAGAGAGGATCAGTATGGGAGAACATCAGGGATCCGCTCTGAGTCTTTCAGTCTGCAGAGGTGATGGTCAGGATGGTCTCAGTATATCCACACTGTGCAAGGAAAGTATGGAGTGAGTGCAAACCAACCCACAGCGTGATGCTGCCACCACAATGCTCAACAGCTGGGTTTGGAAGCCTCACTTTGACTCCTTTAAGCATATTAGTTACTGCGGACAGATAATTAATTTGTTGTGTCTCACCAATCAGTCTTTCACTATAAAGGTATTAAGATTGTTAGTGTGAGCAGCTGAAAGTTTCTGTTGAACGTGAAAGTGTTTGTTTTTGGGGAGACATAAAACTGGCTTTACTGTGGACAGACACTGATGGTCAAGACAGGCTTCAGCATCGGCTGTTCTTCAACATGCTAACCTATCACCTTTATTCAGAGGTGGACAGTTTTGGTCATCTGGGCAAAGTGTTGACATCCAATTTACTTCTACTTTAGAAGTGATTCAAAACAACTTTCCCACCTTGTCTACTATTCTCCCTCCAAGATCTTTGTGTTCTTAAACCAGTGGAGTTTAAAGTATTAGAACTTTCTTTAGTTCATCACTCCTGAATTAAATGATGGTTCATGAACAGAAATCTAAAGAACTTTGACATGCTGGGGTAGTTGGACCATTGGAATCAGCCGTGTTGGGGCAGAGACTCATTTAAACCTGCCAAGACACCATGAGCGGCCTTTAACAACAACAGCTGGACACTTCAGCAGTTGAATCAGATGTCTGACCTCCCTCAGCAGATCGTCTCTCAGCCATGCAGAGGCCTGGTAAATAGTCATTCATTTGATTCAGGTGTGTTTAGAGTAGTTGCAGGATTGTAGCTCTTGGATACTGGACTTGGGAATCCCTGCCTTTCCAATCAATCTTCTATCTTTGTTGTCCGCTCCAACTGAACTCGACAAATAGAGAATATGCTGGACTGTGTTTAAAGAATCATTTTAGAGGCTGCTATTGTTCAATGCCTGAACTGATCAGAAAGAACAATGAAGCTGAAGACTTTACTCTTTAACACCCTGATTATGTTGTTGACAGTGAATACTGTTGTTTCTGAAAAAGATAATCATACTCAGGATATGGTCTTTCTACTATAAGGCAAACCTAGTCTGAAATTATATCCAACACATTTTGAGTTTAGAATAAGAGATCGTTCGTTATAGGATGCACTGATTGTAGCGTTCTGGATGATAATTTTTTTTGTCTGAAAGGAGGCAAAGTTGGCAACAGCAGGTCGACTTTTTGTTTTAAACCGCTCCAGTACAGACATGACCTGGTGGGCGGGTCCATCAGCCAGCCATCTTTCACAGCAGAGCTAAAGGGGACAGAGGCTGATTTTCAGAGCTTTGCTGTATTGAGATCAGTGTATAAGGTCAGTTTCACATGTGTTAGCCAATCACTGATCAGCCAAAATAAATGGCATAAATAAAAGGAAAGTGGTGACCACTGCCAGTAGATTACTGGGCATCAGTCAAAATATCCTCAAACAAATCTAAAACCTGACATCTCAGGACAAAGCAAAAAATATTCCAGCATATTAAAAACATCCACAGCTATGAACGGTCAGAAGCTCTCACTCCCTTTTCACAAACAAAACCAAACCAAACAGACCTGCAAAAAAAAATCATCAGCATTTGTTTTGAAATGTTTGCTTAATTTTCTGATCCAATCTGAGCAATAAAAACCTTTCGTGTTTCTCTCATGACTTTTCATTAGACAGTTTTTAGGTTTACTGCAGCCTCACGTTGCAGACGATCTTGTAGATTAATTCAGACCTGATGCATTTAAAGTAAATATGACAGCAGTTGTCATGATTACACAAAAAAAAATAACTACAGCTCTTTTCTAAGGATAGAAGAGGAGTGAGACTCCACAACACAAAATTATGTTTTAGATGATATACTAATCATTTCTACAGCTCTGATGTATTTGTACATTAAATTAACTAGCTTTACACAAGTCTAACTCTACCATGGAGAAACAAACATGTCACAGCAGAAATACAGAGTTCGTTTTCCAGTTCTGTGATGAAGAGTTCATTGTTTCATCCCACGGCTTCTCCTAGGCTCCTCCTCCTCCACCGCAGCCTCTGAATCTTCAGCAGGCAGTCCGTCTTCCCTTTGACTCTGTGGAGGAGGTCGATGACTATGACCCGCCTCTGTGTCCGCCACTCCTTCCAGTTCCCGAGTTCCAGCATCCAGGCGGAACAGAGTGGGAATTCTCCCTAGGATGGGGTTGTTCTGCTGGAGGCCGGAGATCCACTGGTTCAGAGTGGCCTGGTCTCCCTGGCTGGTCATGCACATGGCGAAGACTGGACCTTCATCCACTGAAAGGTAAACACACACGTGTTACATACCGCAGTTAAGCCAGGCTAACAGAAGGCTGCAGCCATCTTACAGTCGTCCACATCAAAGTTCTCCTCGTCCCCCAGGTCACGGTCCAAATCCAGATCTAGCTGCAGAGGATAGTAGAAGCAGCGCTCTGGATCGTAGACTTCCTCTTCCTGTGGAGAGAATGATCACAGGGTTACAATTGGGAAACCTGCTCACTGTAATCAAATCTAACTTCAGTAAATCAGTGTATTCTATTCTATACACAACCAGAAGGAGGTTAGGATCATCAGTGGAAACAGAAACAGTTAGCTGCTCCTCAGATAGAAGCAGCATAAACTGTGTTGAGTATTTGTTCACTTCACATATGGTAGCACTTCACAGCCAAATCTGCATCAATAACATTGATATTAAATATAATATAGGATTTAGAAACCTTTTCTTCAGGAGGCGTGGGGTCAGCTCTGAGGATGTAGTAGTAGACACAAGTCTTCTTCAGCCACAGGGGGAAGGGCCCCTCCACAAACACAGGCCTGTTTGGGTTATGCTTGGCCAGCAGCTCCATCTGGTTGGGGCTCTGAATGCCTGACATCAGGAAACGGAGAGCAACATGCACCACACACACTATGAAACTGACGGAATAAAATGAAAATGTTCATCTTTATGATTTGATCTTTACATGAGTAGGAAATCAGAAGCTAAATATCTGATTTTTTATTGAACTCTAACAAAACGCAGCATTTTATATTATCTAACATCACAACTTGTTTTTGTTTTGGAAGATGACATGAAACTCCATACCTACAATATGTGGAAAGCTGATTTCTTCCCCACTTTCAGTAATGTCAGTGAAGGGCAGCTGTCAGGAAGAGCAATCAATAACATGAAATTCTCAATGATGCTGATTATTAAATCCAATTTGAAACATGGGAGCTGACATCTATTAGTTGTCTTTCAGTAAATATACAACAGAATAGTCTGTTTTTCTCAGAAAAAAAACAAAAACAAAAAAAACCCAAACGTGCATTAGGACAGTGCTATAAGATGTATGAGCCATATGACTGATAGCCCACATTCTAATGCAGGGGTCTTCAAACCTGGTCTTCAACATCTACTGTTCTGCAGGTTTTAGATACAAATGAAAGAATCGTTGCCAGACCTTTGTCAAGCTGAAAAGGTAATTCAAACACTTGATTCAGCTGTGTTGGAAAAGGGATGCATCTAAAACCTGCAGGCCAATACATGTTGAGGACCAGGTTGGAGACCCCTGTTCTAATGGCAGTACTTAAGCTAGAATTAGCATTTTAGCTTACAAAATACTTTTTGTAAGCTGGATGGAGTACGTTACTGTAGGTCTACAACAGGGGTCTGCAACTCCAATTATCTGTGCTGGCAACTTTTAGATGCGTTTCTGCTTCAACACACCCGAGTTGAAGAATGAAGGAATCAGTAGGACTCTGGAGAACCTGACTGAATACTGAGGAGATGATTCAGTCATTTTATTCATTTAGGAACACATTTAAAAGCTGCAGGTCGCCGTTAAACCTGAGGGTCACAGAACCTAACATGGCATCAAGACCCCTGATTTGGATCCGACTGATACGCAAACAGTTAGGCCCCATTAAGTTTCTTCTTAATGTTGTATGAGCTAAGATAAGCTAAACCTGTACCTGATAAACTGTAGTTTTAGCATCCAAGTCGTTGGCAATGCGATTCAGGCTCAAGATAGCCAGGTCCACAGGGTCTTCAGGCAGAGGCTGAGGAACAGGGAAGGGATTTACGTGCTTGAACTTGGGGAACCAGTACATGATGCGTTGGTACTTTCTTATAGGGTGGCTCTTCTCCCCAAAGATCTGGACCAGTAGGACCTTAGTCTCAATGTTGGGCATTATACCTGAAGCAAAGATAGTAACAGTCGAACTGTAACCTGTGGAATTCGTTTATTACTCAGTATTCCAGCTCCACTTGGAACTCTGCTCTCTATATTAAATGGAGAAGACACCTACCGTAGCTCTCCATCTGCTCCAGAACCTGAACCCCACACTCCTGCTGTCTAGGATAGTGGTTGAACATTCGCTGAATAAAGTTTCTGGCAACAAACACCTCTTTGGGAAAAACATCCAGCAGTTTGTTGTATACGGTTAGGTCTCTCTCTACTCCAAATTCTGGCATTTTCTTCAAAGCAGCGTAGATGAACTCCACATGACCACGCCGTCTTATGTCCGTCTTAGTGAAGACATCAATCACTTGGTTAAATGTGGCCTTGGTTTTGGACTCTTTGGCCACCTGCTCAAACAAATCCTCCTTGGTGACCAAGGACTTGGTCTTCTTCGTGCCATCGTCATTAACAAACCGTACTGGTTCCGGTTGACTCTTCGCCAACACTGGGCTGCAACGAAACTGCCTCAGCACCTACAAATGTTATACATTTGGAAGAAGCAGTCATATTAAGCATAAACCAGATTATGCATTATTTCATTAATGGAAAAATAAACAGTCTGATTAAAATAATAAAGCAACAAGCCAAGAAAGAATGATTTGATTCGCATGGAAATGGGTCCACATGCAGACCAGGGATGTAAATATTGTATCATGTCTTTCGATTTTATATATTAAAAATCTAAAATGTCTGAACCAAAAATGGATCAAATATTTGACCCTTAAACCACCCCCATTCAGTTGGGGAATGGGCTGGTTAGTAAACAAACTGGAGCTTACCTGCTGCTGTTGGTTGTGTTGCACAATAAGCTGACCGGAGGACGGGGACAGGAGCAAAGAACCGCGCTGGACAACAGTCCGGCCGGACCGAACCAGCTGCAAGAGGCACCGGGAACACTTCATCCTGTCAGCGGGGTCATCCGACACATTTCCATCTGACAGGATGGCACTCAGTCATGAACAGAGCATGAAACCACAACGATAGCGCACCTGGATAGCTCTATTTTTACACAAACCAATAAAACAAACACACTAAAGCGGAAAATGTCAGAAAACTACTATTTATGTTCACATATTTAGTTAAATATTCCTCATGTACACATTAGATTAACACATAAAGATATTCTTAAACCAGCGGAGCAAACAAACATACTTTTAGTAAAGTCTCCTTCAAAACTTACTTCATGTGGACGCATCCATGTTGAGAAGCCGGAGGAACATCCTGGTTCTGCACAGTTATTATTCCGCCTCAAACAACAGAAACATTGGCGCACCGGAGTAGTTCCGAAGTATCTTCCCCCTTTTTTGTTAGGTTAATTGCGCTTTATTTATTTTTTGTTTATTAATATATATATA